CATTTTTCAAGCTTCGCTTAAAAAAAGACCAAACGCGTAACGTTAGCTTAAGTCAGTCAATATCTTAAATCCTCTGACTGACCAATAGTGATCATAAACCCGCTGCAATAAAATTTGCTTTCACTCACTGATGCACCGTGTGCAAGATAGGTACCTTTAACTTTCACATTGCAAAACGATTTGTCGAGACGGTCGACAATAAAATCTCAGCAAACAGAAAATGATCACTCTCTGCGTAAATCTTTATCTCCAGGAAGTTTAGTTAGCGAAAATCGGCATGTTAAATCCTTTGCAAATCATCAGAACAGCATTTACCACCAATCAATTGACGTACTTTTTAAAACTGTCAAAACTAGACACTCCCATAGATTTTGTATGGCAATACATACTATACAGTGATGTCTCTATTTTGTCAACTCAATTAAACTACTTTGCAACGAAAAATCTTAATTTACAGGTAATTTAAAATTAATTAAGTTTTTAAGACCAGAATGAAGTGCCTTTAAAAAAAATGCTTTAGAATTATTGGGGAGTGTGGTGGCCAATACGCAATACGCAAGTAACGCAAATACGCAAATTCAAAAAGTATCTTGTGTGCAACATCTCTCTGATATTTGAATTTCTAATTAACATTAAATTATAGACAGCCTTGAAGTCGGTAGGTTTTTTTCATTTCATTAATCTACTCTTTTAACGTATGTTTGCAAAACGACGTGTTTCCTATTAGAGGTGAATTACTGCTGGGGATATAGGTAAGCAAATGGTTTACGTAGTAAACTGCAGGGTATTCCTAGAAATGTAAATATGGGTACTACGAGTAGGTATATATTGCATCATATCTTAATGGTCTTTTAAATATTTATCAATTAATTAGTCACTTACTTCGCATTGTTTTGTTTAAGGACGTAGAGTACGAAATATATTGCAATTTCAAATATTAAGAGCAAATAGCTCCGCTAAGTAGTACCTACCTACATGTTGGTTTTGTATTTTAGATTGCAAACAAGCGTGTCAAACAACATAGGATGTCTATCAAAACATATTATTGGTTCGTAATATAAAACCTCTGTATAACAGAAGTACTGCGAGCGAGTCATTATGAGTTCTGAGTGGTGAGGAAACTGCAAGTAGGGCATACTTAACCCTGAGTGAATTCCAGATTCCAGCCATGGAACTGATTATTGAATTATGTCTCTATCTAACAAACTATTGACAGTGAGATAAGAATTATATACCACGCATTTTCCAGGTAAGCCCGTAAAAATTTGCACTATGTATCGCTTGAAAAAGCAAGAGCTAATTACTTAGCTACTTTGTAATACTAATATTAGGTTATCAAAACTACTTTAGGATATAATGTTACTACACGGTCAATTAAGTTACCCTGAAACGGCCAGTTGCCTCTATGATGACAAGGTATGCTATTTATTTTTATCCAATGTAATTAATCCCTAAAACAATATTTAATAGGCACATTTTGCTTCGTATTGATGCATAACATTAATGATGTTTTAAGTCAACATTATGTCTGATTAACAAGTGTGAACAGCTAATTACGGTAACAAAGTTTACTTAACTTTACCTTTAACCATAGTGAATAAATTTCAGCATGTGCTACTTTGTAAACCATTCGTATATTTATTTTGCTTGGTAGTGAAGGAATATTTGCGTTTTACTTCTCGAGTGCAGGTATTGAAACGAGTAAGATAGGAATAAGGTACACAATGTGAGTACTTTGTTACCTCGATAATGGTCAAGTATTTGTTAATGAATAATAACGTAAATGCGCCTATTACTGTTTAAGGGTATTTCTTCGGAGGCAAAATTTTCGATGTCTTTGGGTATAGTTCTGTAACCAACTAACAAAATGGCATGCATTATTTTTTTTCATATAGCTTAGCTATAGCCCTATCTGGCGCAAATAACATTTTTGACATAATTGCTGTCTTTATACAAAATAAAAATATTTGAAGTGTGATTCTCTGATTCATATGGTGTGTCCGTTAGCCATTTTCCGGAACAAAATGGTTGATGTAGCATTTTCCTTTTGATATATCAATATAAATTAAAATTATTTCGAAAGCTAATGAGTTGTCCTTCTACAAAAAAAATGTGTCATAATTTTAATTAAGTTAGTTTGTTCGCAAAAAAATAAATAAGCAGTGTCCGNCAATTGCCTTCTCAGTACCTACTCAAGAAGGATTAAGTATTTAAGTAAGGTAAAATACAACATTTTATAATGATGAACAACATTCAATTTTTTGGATACCTACTGTTATTTCCTAACTACTTTTTCCTTATTAATCGTGAAATAGAACATGGGAACTCCAAAAATATATTAAACATTTACCTATTAGTAACTAGTTAACCAATTTGCGTGACATTATTTTTATTTAATATTTGTTATTTAAATATTAACCAGAAAAATATTGCCTATGTTGTTCTGGTTACATACATTACTCAAAGTAGGATGTGACATAAAATGCCGACACACATAGTTTGCGAAATCCTGTGTGTACTTAACAACCATGTCAACCATACTATTGTTCTTAGTATTAACTTTACTGGGAAATCAGTTTCTTTTTCGCAGTCTCGAAAAATGAGCTTTTAGCTAAAAAGTTGAGCCTATGAATGACAGTTTATTGTCTATGTTAGTTAAGTATGGAAGTTTTGGCCTTAATTTAGTATGTTAGGAAAACCTACTTTTTACATAAAGGCCGCTGAAGTAAATAAAATACTTCTATAACTGAAATTCAATATTTTTCTACTTGTTACCTCGAGTTGGGCAAAAGACAATCTTATCAAACTTTTAAAGCTCTTAAAAATAGAAAGCGAAAGTGTCCGTATGCCCACAGAATGCCGGCGATATCTGGCACAGAACCTATGATGAACAGAGTGAATAAGTACTCAAGTGGAGCCCAATAAGTCTTGGCAAAATCGTCTCCCTTCTCGATTAGAAGCCAATCTTCAAGGATATAATAGCGCTACATGGCTGGATCTGTTTCTCTTTGCAAGACTTCTAACTTCAGCGTTCTGCAGCTGATTAAAATGATGAAACTGTTCCAGTTGTTTAACAGAGCAAAGCTTGGTTATTATCTAACCATATCAACAACCTTATGATTATACGTTTGACCAACTCAGTGCGTTACGTTTACGTGGTATGAGAAAAATATCGTAGTTCTACGAATTGGTAGATATAATTCAACTGGAATGTCGCCATTTGTTGCAGCGAAAAGCCCGATGAGCTTTAAATACTCTCAACTTTTTCGTTTCATACTTTGGTAGACTATCTGTAATGGCAATTGTAGGCGATGTAGGTCGATGGGTGAACGATGATGATAGGTGAAAATGAAAGTCCAGGTAGGTACGTTGAAAATGAAGGCGCGTCCGGGTGTGCGNCCCACCGCTTTTTTTCCTTTTACCTCAATTTGGTAAAGTTCTATAGACTAGCCATCTCATCTAACCCACTGATCTTCTTATTGTACTGGAGCTGGACCACCCTGTGGTGCCTAACTCAACTTTTTTTTCTCAAGAGACCCCATATAATGACCTTTTCTAATGGTTCTAAAGCATCAAAATTTGTTTCAATGGTACCCACATTATTATCTTTCAATCAATGTTAATAAAATTACGTTTGCCTTGTCGAATCTGTCTCTAGGCTTTTTGTGAAAATCTTTATAAGTAATCAAAGGATACCGTTTGGTTCTGTTTTCACGTGTGGTTCCAAAAACTATGTAACTAAGTCTCTTTAGGTCGACAAACAGCTCGTAATTGGGAAAACAATATGTTTCTTTTTGTTGTCTGTAACCCCATAAATAAAGAGCCATGTTATCGAAAAAAGAAAACAATGATTACATATAAAAACTATGAAGAAATAAGTAAACACTCTAATAATAATGCCGTTACTGTACTATTTTACGTAACATGTCAAGCGCCCATTGTACTAAACTTAGTACAGCATCACTTTGGGAGTTATAGCATGAAAAAAAATTCATGAAATGAACTTTTCTAGGTATTTTTTATTAGAATATGTTGTTAGCTAATACACAAACAACATATTTGGTATTTTGTGTAACTTAAACCTTGCATAAAAACTTATCAAGTACCCACTAGAAGATACGAAAAAATCACTGAAACGAAATCGCAAAATACCCCCTTAAGATTGTATAATTATGGTCTGTTTCATCTAAGGATATAATGCATAGACCTTTGTTTACCGATTGGAATTATTTCCAGAGTAAAAATACCCACTAAATCAGATTTATCATAACTTAAAGTTGTGTACTATTTATTGTACGGCGGGCGTTAATGGGTTAAGGGAAAGAACACTTTTGTGCTTTTACAAATTACGTAGGCAGACCAGTGGATACTTTGCATTCTTTACAATCCATGAGCAAGGTATAAAAGTCCAAGGTTTTTGTGTGATGAAAATATATCGATTAATCTGTTAAATACTCATATAATATCGTACTACTTTGGTTATAAACTGAAAGGTTCAACTATCTTACATATTCATCAACCAAATGAGTTTGAGTCAAACCACCTAAAATATTTTTGTTTCAGTATGCGTTCGTAGTCATTGCAACATTGCTACGATTGAACCTTTATTGACGTTATCGTGTGATACGTATTTTAATTTATTTATGTAGGTTTATATGTAGCGAAAATGTCACTATGAAAATAAAAGTAGGCTCTACCAAGATAAGGTTATCACTTTGTTGTCATACTTACTTATTTGTCTTTTAGAAAATTGCTTTTGAAAACCTATTCGACCCTTCAACCTGCATTCCTAAATACAATAATTACCTAAATATTATAAATCTATCTACTAAATGAATATGTACAAGCTTATCGTAAGTAGCAGACCAACAGTTAAAACTAGAGGCAAACGTAACCGATTACCAAGTGACAATGTAGGTAATTAATCGTAATCGCATAATTAAGGTTGCGATTAAGATATGAGCGATTTTAATTTGTAATTACGCTATTTTTTGTTACAGGTATGAATCTGTTGTTAGCAAGGTCACAGTACGCACAGCCGCGCGAACGATTCAGCTCCACAGTGTCGTGAAATGGTTGATATAAATATGTAAACAGTTATTCGGTGCAAAAAAAGTGTTACGTAATAAATAGTTGAACGACAAGTGTAGAGATGACGGTGGACAATAACATGAACAACCTGAACGGGCAAAAGCAGGAGGTGAGTTTATTTTTTCATTCATTGTCACTAGAATTGAGTCAATTGAAGTTAGGTTTATTGTATCATTCCAAATCAGCTCTAAATGTTAAAGGAAGAGGAACAATACTGAGGAATATTAACTTGACGTAATTATACATGGGTATTGATAGATCGATTTGCTTTGAATTTATTATTTGTTCTGTAAAATGGCATATTTTGAGATCGGCGTGCGATTGTTTTATACACCGGTGCATTGCATTATGCGAGACAATGCGGCATAACAATAATAAGTTATGACATGCGGGTTAATATTATGCAGTTTAAAATCACCTCTACAGTATCATTTGCCTACGACAGTTCAAAGATAAATCATTGAAAATACCATTAAAGTCGTAACGATTTTGGAGGTGGGCAAAGGTTGTAAGTAAAGAAAATCTATTAATATTAACCGTGACATTCACTTCCCCTTATTTACCCTGATACCTTCTTACCTTATTAGTTTATTACCCACTCTACAAATCTACAATCTACATCCCTCATAGTTGTAGATTTTTATGTTGAAACAATGTAGAGTTTTCATGCACGCATATATGCATTTCAGCACGCCCAAACAGTGTTAGGCTTTCGTTTTATTCCGATATTTCCGATAAACAAATGATGCCTGGTAAACTAGTAGGTACACCGTTAGTATAGTAATTGTACTTTTACACCCGGTAAAACACTTCGAAATTTACTCTTTCTGCCTACTCGCAATACTTATACCGCAAGCAAGATTACATTTGAGATGTAATAGAAATGAATGATCTACACTTTGAGCTCTACATTAGTATGACCGAGTCAAAGACAAAAAGACGAACGGGATTTAAAGATCATTGGTTTTGCACAGTTCTTTGTAATCTTTGTTGCAAAAACTAGGTCTGAAGCAGAATCTGCTCTCGTGTTATGTAATATGTATCAGAACAACCTTGAAAAAATAGTAAACAAAAAAGTAATCTTAATTTATGGCGTGTTTGCGGAGATTAATTGAATCGCCACAGAGATGTCAACAGAGGACTAATTAATTGAGGTTAAAAAACCGGCCAAGTGCGAGTCGGGCTCGCGCACAAAGGGTTCCGTAGCAGCAAATATAATAAACTTATTATGTCAATTTAATCAACCTATCTCAAAAACTATAAGAGATACTTTGATCAAACCAAAAATCGTTGAAAGAGTTAATTAGCATGCATCACCTCTATTTTTTTTAGAATTTTATACCCCGTAGTTATAAAAATAGAGGGGGGGGGACATACTTTTTACGACTTTGAGAGCTGATATCTCAAAAACCGTTCACTTTAAGAAAAATGTTTTTTAGAAAACTTTATATCATTTTAAAAGACCTTTCCATTGATACCCCACACGGGTATGTACATCGAAAAAAAATTTTCATCCCTCAGTTACATGTATGGGGGGCCCCACCCCCAATTCTTTTTTTTACTATTTAGTGTCATAATTTTGTAGCGGTTCATACAACACATATTCCCATCAAATTTCATCACTGTAGTACTTATAGTTTCCGAGTAAATCGGCTGTGACAGACGGACAGACGGACAGACGGACAGACGGACAGACGGACAGACGGACAGACGGACAGACGGACATGACGAAACTATAAGGGTTCCGTTTTTGCCATTTTGGCTACGGAACCCTAAAAATAGCGACATCTCGAAAAAAACAGGTTTGATTATACTTCCTATATTTGTGATTGCAAAACAAAGCGTAGTTAGATCTACAATGATCTCTTAAGTATACAGATACATAATGGAATCTATTATTCCCATACAAAATCTATGGGAATCAAACAATCTTAGTTTATCTGATAGAAATGTTTTATTCATTAACATGAGAATATTTAACTTTTTCTATTGATGCAAATTCCTGTGGATGCGTCATAAAATATTTCTGAAATATTGGAATGTCTCCAAAGACTGTTTTCCTGTATAACACTTACTCGTATCTAGCAGGCACTCATTAGTAATTACCTTGATAGACAATGTGATGAGTGTCATCACAAATTATAGATGTGGCTGTAACTAATGATCGTACAAGACATTATTAAAATGAATTATGGTCTTCTTGTGTTCTTTAATTCCGCCATAGAAGCGGTTTATAGCCGGTTTTGTATCTACTTTAACATACTCTCTGATACTTTGATCCCAGCCCAGTCTTCCGTGAAATCAAGTACGAAATTTAATTTTAAAGACTTATAGTTATGGTCATAAAGATGTGCATACGTTACACAGACACAAATAATCACAAAAGGTGAAACTCTATCATAATAAAATATAATGTGAAAGTTTATAGAAATCGATTCGCCATTGATCATCAGTGTGATATCCCCTTTTACTTGCGAACATCTTCTATCATTATCAAACTCGCATTATACTGTACTGAAAAACATGCCCACTAGAAATGGTAAATAGTACTTTGCTTGTCATTCTGCAATACATAGATTAAGCAGTTAATGATAATTTGTATGCTTTCCCTATTATATAACTCATAATAGGGTTTTTATAGGACTTTTTTTTATGGACTTTGATAGCATATTTTTACAATAACAGTTACTGTTATTGTAAAAATATGCTATCAAAGTCCACCTACAAGATAAAGGCGGCAGGAATGCGCTAGATGGCGGCTACCGACCGGTCAATATGGAAATTAATGGGGGAGGCCTATGTTCAGCAGTGGACGAACTATGGCTGAAATGATGATGATGATGATGACAGCTATGTAAAGTAATCTTCTTCAAAATAGCCGGTGTGATCATAGGAAACATAGACAAGGCGGTGTATCCTTATTGCATTATAACTCGCTGTTTTGAGCGGAATAAAACCGCCAAAGAGTTAAGCAGGATGCCCGCAAGGTCTGTCCACTTAGAACGGTTTCTGATGTCGTTGGTAGACTAGTTTTGAATTCAATACTAATGACACTTTTCTGAGAAGGACCAAGGTATCGATTGAACATTCAGAGTTATACGATACAGTGTGAGCTCCATTGTTTCTTAGGTTTTTTTCCATATGGATTTATACAAGTCAATTTCAAGAACAGTTGTAGTTATAGACTTGATCGCTTCGCTACGTCCCAAAGTAAAATACAAAACATATGGAGCATACAAATACCAAAACAATACCGCTCTTAGATGAAGTAACATAACGTTTTAGTTCAAAATTGTAAGTGTAACAAATGTAGAGTCGCGACTAATTTATTGATGCATCTTGCTTACTTAAAACAGCGCCAATACCTACCTAATACGAGAAACAAAGTAATTTGACGGTGAGGAGTTACACACGTCCTAGCAATTGGAACATTGAATGAAGCTAATGACACAGTGCCGTAGTTCAATTTACTGGCTCGAATACTAATTAGCACACGTCTTTATGACCTACTCGGTACAATTTAGGCGGTCATATCGCTAGGAAGCAATCTCATCCAGACAACCAGGAAGATAACAGTTAAGTAGGTCTAAAGAAAACTTATGCTCTTATGAGATGCTCTTGCAAAATTGCAATACATTTTACTTCTCTCCACTTGCCTGACTACACACTAAAGTGCATATAATGCAAAGGGCACTATGCACAAGATAACCAGTCCAATCATGTTTATTTATATAGCTCCGATAAACGTTTGCGGTTGCAAATGCATTGACCACAGGAATATTTTTAACAACTCACAACCGGCAAGGTGTAGATTGGTTACATTACGTAGAATGTGCTCCGTGGGGTCCGCCCTGACGTCAATGGCAACCTGGGACTGGAAAACGTGACTTCATACGTATGCACGGTACATGAACGATGCCGATGATCCCAGGATTAAAATAAATTAACCGACATCTACCTACGTCATAGTTCAATGCAGTCGAACGGGCTCAGGATTTTTGTTCTTCTTTTAGGTATTTGTCATGTTTTACAGAATTGATAAAAGTCATGCGGAAATGACACGCGTTATAATACTGTTGCAGTTCAGTGTATCCTACCTATGAGATAGATTGATACTTATTTAATTGTGAACTTTCAAATGTAGAGGCATTGGCTACCACCAACAGTGCGTCGCTGCTAAGCCGATCTAAATAATGACTACGTTTATTTCTTATCTTGTAGAGCGGTATGACTGATTACAATGTAGGCATTTTCAATTAATTAACTTATAATCTATCGTATTATAAACTCGATTAAATGTTGCTAAGTATATTGACGTAGACGTGTGTAGTGCATCATCCAGGTCCGCAGAAAAAAATGATTTTCAGCAGGATGAAAATATTAACTAGTTACTTAAATTTATTTAACTGGTTTTTATAAACACTTGCACGCTACTTCTTCTTCTTTTGTTTTAGAGACATCCATTAGGTTTGAAACGGAAATGTAAGCGGATATCGTATCATGTTCTTGTACGTTCTTACTGCTAATTACATATTTATACACCGTGTTACTTTGCATTCTTGCCATATTCACAGAGATAAAAGTAGGGAACAATACCTATTTATTTAAGATAAACAAGAGACTCCCATAAAGAAAGTACATTAAGATTTTAGTAAATTTGGTTTTTCAGTACAAATTGGAATAAACCAATATTGTCTCGCACGGTCTACAGGTGCAAGTGGAATAAACCTAGTGGGCGTGGCCTAGTTCTTAATAATCTGATGTTTTATGGCTCTGGGTACCAGCCTTTTTATCCAGTCATAATAATTATTTTAAAATACTTTTCAGTTGATTTCAGATTTTCCTTTCTACTTTACGGGCTTAGGACCGTCAAAAATACGTAATAATTATTAGGGTTTTAATTAATTTATAACATTGTACCCTATTTTTACAAATTAATAAATTAAGTATGAAATGAAATCACCTTATTCACAATTAATTATTTATTTATAAGTTCCTACTTACAAAGTTTACGTACTGCGAAGCAAGTGTTCAAATGTCCTCCGTTCTGATGAAAGCACAGTCTAGCACGGCGAAGCGTAGGTTTTTCGATTTAGTTTTCGCAACACATAAACGTTTTGTCTCACAGTTTCACTAAAACAATCCTTTCATGTAACGCGTTTACCACTGTTAACTCTTCTGCGCATACCAGTCGTTTCAAGTCACTCCAAAAATCCATTGGTGTCAGGTCCGAGGATCGTGGTGGCCAAGCTACTGGACCCCTCGTCCAATCCACTGTTCACCAAACGTATTATTCGCGCACTTGACGTCCTTATTGTGGGGGAGCACCATCCTGCTGGTAGTAGAGCATTTGGTGTAACGCTAAGGGTACGTCATCAAGCATTTCGTCTAAGACGTCTTGCAGACACTCCAAGCACCATTTTGATTAAATTATTCGTTGTTTGAATACACTTCAGTCATTTTTGTATTATTTATAACGTGATTTGTGATTGATGGAATTCTCAGTTATTTACAAGTGTCAAATAGACATTTTAAAGACAATAAAAAGTATTTAAAAATACAATAAAAAGTAAAAAAGTCTCCATCGCCATCGCCAACAAGTGATGTGCATGCGTTACGATAATTAGTGGTGTGTTTAACAGATTGTCGATAAAATAAAATACTCAAGATTAAAAAAAAATATTTTCGGTCATTATTTTTTTACGGATTTATGTTCAGTATCAGTAATATAGTAACCTCTGTAAATATGGCAAGAATGCAAAGTAACACCCTGTATTTTCCTGCAAAACAATTTCCATAAATTTATATTTTTTTGTTGAAAACTATCGAAAATAGGCAGTTCTATGTTATCTAATCTCTAACGCAGTTTGATAAAGTGTCTCAGTATGCGTCCAATCGTCGTGACAACTAGTGTATTTTTATTTTCTGTGGCATAGGGTAAACAGAACGTGGATCTGGAGCGTGGTGGGAAGAGTGAGGAGTCGAGTATCCCGTGGGGGAAGATTCTGATCATGCTGGTGGCTCTAGCGGTTCTGGTGGCGTCCTGTGCCGTAGCCTGGGTGTTCCAGGACTGGCAGACCAGCCTGATTGTACTAGCCATACTAGTGGTTGTGTACCTCTTGGTATTTTACTGGAGGTGGCTCTATGTAGCCGCTAGGACTGCTCGAAGGGATTTCACGTAAGTTTTTTTGCTGCTTTTATGCTCTTAACACCTAACTAACAATATTAAATAAACATTTTGTTTTTATAAATTATCATCGTTAACTGAAGTTGCTCCTCCAAGCAACCGCGCGAATTTTAGCGGAGGCCCTTAATTAAAGTAAGACATTACCTTGATTTTCTGAATTATTTATTACCTAACCTTTTCATGCTAGAAATTCATTTAAAACGAAGGGCGATTTTATTTCGGATATTGGTTATTGTTAAATTATTAAGATTTAATTAATTTATTTATTTAATGAGAATTCATACAGCGATGCAAAGTGGAAATTTTTGGTATTGTTTACAGGGCTCTCTTCCACTACATCAAGATCCTGTCTCTATCGCGGAGGTTGACAAAAAGCAATTCAGCAATCCCTGACGTGTTCCACGATGTGGTTCTCAAACACCCCAACAAGAACTGTTTCCTAATCGACGATGAAGTTTGGACCTTCCGACAGGTTAGAGGCTATCAATTAAAACGCTTTAATTAAAATATTATCATTTCCCTTCTTGTTTGATAAATAATAGAGGCATTATCGAACAATTGATAAGAAATATTAACTAACTACGAGTAATGTGAAGAATTTCTTGAAAAACTAAGAGAAAAATAACACAAGGAAAAATAAACTACAATAGGTATACTAAGTACCTATATGTAGAGTTCGGGAGAGTTATCGGGATTTCCCATTTGCAGTTTTAAGTTTTTTGCCATCTTGATCCTGCATAAATAATTAGCAGCAAAAAATAATATGTAGTTACCTACCTAAGTTGCCAAAGTCCATTTTAAACGAACGTTAATAACAACAGGTGTTTGTGATTCTGGCGTCGGTGTATGAATTTGTTCATTTTATTTCTTATATACATTATACAGACTTTGTTAACATAATTGTTATATGAAATACTTAGGCTGGGTTGCACCATCTTACTTTAACTTTGACAAACGTTAAAAATCTGTCAAATTTTATACAAAATACACCGGTTGTCGTTATAGTCACGGTCAAAGTTAGGTTGTGCAACTCAGCCTTATTTTTTCCTATATTCCACGTGCACACCGTGAGAGATTAATACCTAGCCTTGTAATAATGACCAGCGTATCACGTCGTACATTCATGGACTGATGGCTTAATAAATCCCAAATTACAGGTGGAAGAATTTAGTTTACGGACGTCTGCAGTCCTCAAAGCAAATGGGGTGAAGAGAGGAGATGTGGTTGGGGTGATGATGAGCAACAGCCCTGAGTTGCCAGCCATCTGGTTAGGTCTCACTCGGCTGGGGGCAGTCGCTCCACTCATCAACACCAATCAGACCGGCAACACCTTGCTGCATTCCATCAACATTGCCAAGTGTGATGTGGTGATCTATGGCGCCGAGTATGAGGAAGGTAAGACTAACAATGGGATAGTAATTAGTTGGCAAGTTATCAATAGCGATGATAGCTGAGGTAATTTGTGTAACGAACTACAACGCACAATGAGGATGCGGGTTCGATTCCTATAATGGGAAATCATTTTTTATGCATAATAAGGCAGGTATTTGACCACATGTTCAAATGTTCGAGTAAAATAACAATTTCCAAATTGATTTAATTTTTGATAATAAGATTATATTATGTGACAAATACCCCAACTTATGTAAAGATTTGGGAGCTAAATAGCGAACTAAAAATGACCTTGTTTATCGCTAACATTTGACCCTTATTAGGAGCTTAGATCATTGTGCGCGTAGTAGCACAAACTTTACCATTTGTTATACTAATAATGTTCTGTTACTTTACAGCTTTCCAAGAAGTGAAGAATGACTTAAATCCATCGATCAAGCTGTTCAAATATACTCATCGGCCTCTGAACACTTCTGGCACCGCGGTACAGGTGGCAGACTCAGCTAACGACTTCACGTCCATGCTGGAAACCACGCCACCATTGCCATGGTTCAAGTCCGAAGGAGACGGGTTCAATGGGAAACTGCTGTACATTTATACTTCTGGCACCACCGGGCTTCCAAAGGCTGCTGTTATTTCTTCCTCCAGGTACGGTTTTGCTCTGTCCTCTATCATCTATGGTGTGAGTATCGTTAAGGTTACCAATAAAGTTACAACCCTGGAACTAGAATTTTTAACTGCCATATTAATAGGCATTTGACGCGGCTCATTTTAATATGCTCTCTGAAGACCTTCTACATCCAAGTTCGCACTGTTATTTACAAACATTTTTTTCAGAATGGTGTTCATGGCTTCTGGTGTCCACTACTTAGGCGGCTTAAATTCCAAAGACGTGATATACTGCCCAATGCCTCTGTACCACTCCGCTGGTGGTTGCATCACAATGGGACAAGCCCTCATCTTTGGCTGCACGATTGTTTTAAGGAAGAAGTTCTCCGCTTCCGCCTACTTCAAAGACTGTATGAAATATAACGCTACTGTGAGTCTTTATTCTTAATATAGCATGTTATAAATCTGGTTTAAAAAATCTAAGATATTGCAGTAAGCAATGCTTTGATACATTTTTGTATGGCATTCCATCAAGTTTCAATAAAAGTTAAATTCTTCATAATTTTAGCTCGATAGCCTTGATTAGTAAATTTCAAAGCACCTAGTTGGTGCCCTTTGGGCTGGTGAGTCCACCTTAAAGCGCAACTTCTTTTTTCCAGGCTGCACATTACATTGGCGAGATGTGTCGATATATTTTAGCGACTCCTCCATCGGCTACTGACAGGCAACACAAAGTTCGCGTAGTGTACGGAAATGGAATGAGACAAGCGGTACCTACCACCTTCAACTTTATTCTCTAGCTGATAAGCCTTTAATTGGAATTCAGCCCGATTGTCTGTTTAATGACTTTAATGTATAGTAATTTGTACGAATTCATCCTTTTCAGATCTGGCCAGAATTTGTAAGAAGGTTCAATATCAAGAAAGTTGCAGAATTTTATGGAGCAACAGAAGGCAACGCAAATATTGGTGAGTTAATCAATCGAATTGAATGTATTTCTTTTTAACTACTTTGAAGAGCAAATTAATACGCACTACTTTTGATTTCCAGTAAACGTCGACAACAAAATGGGAGCAATAGGATTTGTCTCCAGAATTATTCCCGCTGTTTACCCCATCGCTATTCTGAAAGTAGACCAAGAAACCGGAGAACCAATTAGGAATTCCAAAGGACTGTGTCAGGTACTTAAATATCACTGATTTATGGGTTTATTCCAACTTATTGCCCAATTTGTGAACTAATGAACTTTTAATGGCATGACAAAATTTTTAGTCATTTTGGAATTTTACACTACTTAGTAGTTACCGTTAATTCACTATGTAACTTAATAATTGTTTTTCCAGTTGGCGAAACCGGGTGAGCCTGGAGTGTTCATTGGCAAAATCAATCCTAAGTTAGCGTCCAGAGCGTATTTGGGTTACGTTGACAAAGAAGCCTCCGAGAAGAAAATAGTTCGCGATGTTTTCTCTTTTGGAGATTCAGCGTTTATATCAGGTAATTATGAAAATGTTCATATTGATGTAGTGAATTTCAACAAACTAAAGAGTCTTGGCCTCCGACAGTAAGAGTATCAACTCCAGTCGGTTCTGGGCTATCTCTTACTCTTCCCAGTTAATCCAGTAAGTTATCTTACCAGTTTTCCAGTGGTGAATTTGCGTTTCCAAATAATAGTAGGTATCACCGTCCCACTGAATGGGGAGCATACGTTATAACAATGACTGACTTCAATAGTGGAGCACAAAAAGGTTTAATTTGATTGAGATTGAATGTCTCAGTACAGCAGCTTATCTATTCTCTGTGCTTATATATCTCTTTATCTGTGATGTCGCCTTTCTGATAAATTGTCTTCTGTTCCATTCCAGGCGACATCCTGGTGGCAGACGAGCTGGGCTACCTGTACTTCCGCGACCGCACGGGCGACACCTTCCGCTGGCGCGGAGAGAACGTCAGCACCACGGAGGTCGAAGCTGCTATTTCGAGGGTAGCTGAGCAGAGGGATGCTGTCGTCTATGGTGTAGAGGTAAGGAAAGAAATAACAAGTTTCAGATGATTGTTGTAGCACTTTCTTTGTCATTATCGTCGTCTACGTCTGTGGCTTTTCCAATTTCATTTGGAATCGTTCTATGTCATTATTATTAAATGCGATTTAAATGATTTCTTTCAATTACTGAAAGTTTATGTCGTTCAATATAAGTATTTCTAACTAACTTAGCTTCTTTCTTAGGACTCTTCCAACAGCAAAAATTTTATAATGGAGAACGACTTACCATTGTTCAATTCCATTTTTATAACTCGAGCGCACAATTTAGATTTTTGGCCAATGTCAAGTGGAGAAAATGTTAATAGCTAAACTGTTTCTGAAGATTTAAACGTACTTAACTGCTCTTCAAACGATCACAATAGTACCTTTAACAAGATTTGGTAATGTCTCAACAGATCCCGAACACAGAAGGGCGCGCGGGCATGTGCGGTATCGTGGACATTGACGACACGCTAGACCTGGACAAACTGCTGAAAGACGTCTCCAGGGATCTACCCAAGTACGCCCGGCCTATCTTCATCAGGAAGATGACGAGCGTTGACATGACTGGTATGTTAAACTTTTTCACGGCTTTTTGAACGTAGGCTAAAATGAAGCTCAAAAGCCACATTGCAGGTTCACTGGTCAATTTACGTTAACATGGCTGACATGTCTACCACTTTCACAGCCAGATTGTCATTACCTATTAATCGCAATCATAGTTTTTGACTTCCTTGTTTTAGATTTAATTAATTTTAATGTAATATGCAGCGGTACACGGTAAAACCAAAACTGGTTTTTGTGACATCGTCAAATGAATGTTTGGATATATAGCCTGACCAGGAACATAAAAACCCTGGCGTAGAGGCGCGACAATTGCATTTGATAGTGCAACACTGGGTACAGTCGTACCTGTATTAAATTAATAGGCTAACTTTATGTATCAGGATTCAGGATTATAGGCTAAGGACAATGACCAAAAATGTATGGAGTGTGGTCCAAATGTCCACCACTAACGAGACCTATGTAGTAAAATAGTCTATTAAATACTGATTCATTATAACCAAACCGCAATCAAAAATACCTATGCTGTCAGTAAAAAGTTATGACTGAATGAAAAGTCATGTTTTTCACCTTTTCATCTGAAAAATGTCCTCGATATCAGTCTATCCATCGCACATTTTGGACTAATCTATGCATGTTATGTCATGTCGCTTAGTGTGCCGTGTTAGGTTCTCGCTAAAAGAAAAAAAAATAAGCTCAGAAGAAAGACAACAATATTGGAATACTTTGAATAAGCGAAAGGGGTAAAAATAGTCTTTTTTCCAACTGGTACTGGGTTATAGATGAATTATTATATTATACTAGCTGTGCCTACGACTTTGTACGCGTGAAAATAGTTTGAATAATATTTCCCATTTTTACAACATTTGTCTTAACTGCTCCGCCCCTATTGGTTGTAGGGCGATGTTAAATAACCTAAACCCATCCTTGATAAATGGGCTATCCATGACAAAAATATTTTTTCAAATAGGACCAGTAGTTCCTGAGATTAGCGCGTAAACTACTACAATTTTTCAAACTGTCATAACTTTTTACTGACAGCTTATTTTTTTTTCGTCCCATACTGAAAGTTATTCTCTATTTAATGGACTATAAGTCAATATAGGTCTCATTAGTGGTGGACATTTGGACCACTTTTGGTCATTGTCCTTTAATATTTTCATAAATTAACAAAAAAATATTATATTATAGGTAAACTGGTTTAAATAAATTAAATGAAACCATCAATCGAGCAAGTAGGATTTTATTATTATTCATCAATATAATCAAATTCTGAACTCGAATATTCAACTGCAATGTCTGCTCATGAACGCTTCAAACTCGGTACTTCTTTCCCAATTCCATAAAATTCAATACTTACAAAGTGACAAAAAACTTTAAAGTAGGTATTTGAAACAAACTACAACTAATTTTCATAGTGGACTGTACTATACGATAAACATGTCAGTCAATTTGACAATCTTTGTCGGAAACATTATTCAATGAAAATATTATCCGAACCCTTAGTATTTCTCTTCGACAAATACTTTAACACATTGTTGCGGAAAACTAATGGTACTAATTTCTTTTAATGGCAACAGTAACTGAAAACTTCATTGACATGTCACCTTGCATGTCAGTCTATTGCTGTCAAAGTGTAAACAAACGTTATTTTAAATGTGCGCCATTGATTTTGTGAATTAAATTGCTAAAATCTTTTTATAGTCGTGAAAGAAAAGTGGTTCACAATGTGTTAAAGTATTTGTCGAAGATAAATACTAAGGGTTCGGATAATATTTTCATTGAATAATGTTTCCGACAAAGGTTGTCAAATTGACTGACATGTTTATCGTATAGTACAGTCAACTATGAAAATTAGCTGTGATTTGTTTCAAATACCTACTTTAAAGTTTTTTGTCACTTTCTAAGTGTTGAATTTTATGGAATTGGGAAAGAAGTACCGAGTTTGAAGCGTTCATGAGCAGACATTGCAGTTGAATATTCAAGTTCTGAATTTGATTATTGATGAATAATAAAATAAATTCTACTAGCTCGATTGATGGTTTCATTTAATTTATTTAAATCAGGTTACCTATAATAATATTTTTTCGTTAATTTATGAAAATATCAAATTAGCCCGCAATCCTGAATCCTGATAACATAAAGTTAGCCTATTAATTTAACACAGGTACGACTGTACTCAGTGTTACACTATCAAATGCAATTGACGCGCCACTATGCCAGGGTTTTTATGTTCCTGGTCAGGCTATAACTTCTTTTAAATAAATAAATAAATATTTTTTAACTTAGTTTAGTCGACACTAGAACTTCAATGTAGCTGTTAAAAAATACCTATTCTCAGTGAGTGACCCTTTTCCAGTGTTTCTTTAGAAAATAGGTATAAATCATGTTTTTTGTTTACCAGGTACATTCAAAATGAGAAAAGTGGATCTACAGAAGGAAGGCTACGACCCAAATAAAGTTTCGGACAAACTTTACTACCTAGATCCAAAATTAGATAAATACTTACCGTTAGGACTAGAAGAATATGAGAAGATCATCTCGGGACAAATTAGACTGTGATTCCATTATTTTAAGTCACTTAACTACTCGTAAGCTATGCCTCAAGTAATGTTAAAAGAATGTGAGATGTAGATAATAATTATTTAGGTAGGTACATTAAGTAAATTATTACTTTTAGCCATACATAGGGTGATTTATGGATTATTTTCGTTAGAATTATAATCATGAGGAATTATACGATGATGGATACTATAAAAACTGTTTTATTTTAAAAACCTACTCCTACACTCATTCTTCGTGTCAGAGGCTAATCGCAAAGCAAAATTCTAACACATAAGTAATAGCTTACTATATTATTAAGTGCAAACTATGCATAGTTCCCTGGTAAGACATAAAAAAATCATCTCTAAAAGTTAAAATAATAAGAAGAAATCGAAAATATTTTAAAGGTGACATACAGAGTCACCTCTAATTACCAAAAAAATCACCTTTGCAAAATAATTTTGGCTGCGTGTAAGTAATCTTTCTTAGTTAGAAAATATTTGCAAGGGCTACCAGAATGTTTCCCGTATGGAATAGTAACAGTCACTCTCTTAGGTGGTATAGTTGGGTACTTAATAGCGTAAATAATAGTGACTAAAATTACGTAAAGAAAAATTTAAAATTCAACGACCAAAGTTCAATATGGTTGAACTTAAGTCTAAGGACTTTACTTTTTATTCAATGCCTTAAATTATAAATTCACGTAAAAATGTCATGGAAGACACGAAAACAAAAAGTAATTTGTTATCCGTATCTTGGTTAATCTTATCAGTGTGCGCTTACTCCTTGGGTCATCAACATGATAATTAATTTTAAAAAACTGTGATGTTAAAATAAACTAAATCTAGAGCGCCTAGTGTAACTGTGTCGTTAGGGAATACCAAAAAGTATCAGCCATGTGTACAATTCTGGAGGGACTCTTCCAAGACTGGACGTCAGGCCTCCTTACCCTGGTCACATTATGGGCAATTTACTGGGGCGTCAGCCACTGGAGGTGGTGTTATGTGGCTGCTGTAACTCTTCGAAGGGATTCCAAGTAAGTTTCATAAATAATCTAATGAATAGGTTTGCAATTAATCGAGCTAATCTTTTTACCCATGAAATAAGGACGTAGAGACGTAGGCCCGGCTTAAGACATTTTGTATTTTTCATTGAAATTAACTGATAATAAAGTCATTGAAACTACCTGAAATAAAACAATACCTACCTTTAGTCACAGAATAAGTAATACTTAGTATGCTTTAGTACAGTGAATTTATAGAAAACCTTTGTGTGTGTACTATTTTTAATTACACCAAAAACACGTGAAAAGTATGTAGGTAATAGGTACATAAGCTTTTTTTCCTGATTTTAAGATTCAATTTTATGATTATAGAGCCCTCCACCACTACATCCGAATGCTGTTAACATCGTGGAGATTTTCAAAAAACAACTTAGCAATATCTGATTACTTTCACAATGTTGTGCAAAAGCATCCAAACAAGAGTTGTTTTTTGATGGATGATGAAGTTTGGACTTTCCAACAGGTATTCAAATTGTGACATCTCTTCTCTTTGCTTTCGAAAACATCTTAAAATATCGTTTCTTCTCTATGTCCATCCTATCATGTAAAAATTTTAGGTCGAAGAATTCAGTTTACGAACGTCAGCAGTCCTCAAAGCGGAGGGAGTGAAGAAGGGAGACATGGTCGGTCTGATGATGAGCAATTGCCCTGAGCTACCTGCTATTTGGTTGGGCGTTACGAGGCTTGGGGCAGTTGTGCCTCTTCTCAACACAAACCAGACCGGGAAAACTTTACTCCACTCTATCAACATTTCTAAGTGTAATATTGTCATTTATGGGGATGAGTATGAAGAAGGTAAGGATGACTGAGCCAAAAATTTTAATAACTATCTTTAGCACACAAAATGTCTTTTAATGCATCTATCGTTTGGACTGTTTTGTTCATAGTTTTCCAAGACCTCAAAGCTGATTTGGACCCGTCCACAAAACTTTTCAAGTTTAACAAACGGCCATTGAACATCTCCAACAACAAACCACCTGTGGCACACTCAGCAAACGACTTTACGTCAATGCTGGAAGCTACACCACCACTCCCGTGGTTCAGATCTGAAGGAGACGGCTACAATGGAAAACTATTGTATATCTTCACCTCTGGTACCACTGGACTGCCCAAGGCTGCTGTTATTTCTTCTGCTAAGTATGTAGTAAAATATTTTTTTTACCAATCGAAGATTGGACGTTAGGTGCTCAATTAGATCTTCGTATGTTCTAGATTGGTCAGTGTGTCCACTGGTATCTACTATTTTGGAGGCATAAACTCTGATGATGTGGTATACTGCCCGATGCCACTATACCACTCCGCTGGCGGCTGCGTCACGATTGGATATGCCCTCATATTCGGTTGCACTATCGCTCTTCGGAAAAAGTTTTCTGCTTCCTCTTATTTCAAAGACTGCATCAAATATAATGCTACTGTAAGTCGACACAACTTTCACTACTTAATTATGAATTAATGTGACATGGCTACTACATCATCATAGTGATGGTGATATTTGGAAACCTTAGACATGTCTTATTAACTGTGCTGTTTCTAGGCGGGCCAGTACATCGGTGAAATGTGCCGCTACATCATGGCGACTCCTCCATCACCGATTGACAAGCAACACCAAGTTCGTGTGATGTATGGCAATGGAATGAGACCTACAGTAAGTAACACCCATGAATAAAGGACGAAGTTTGATACGCACTTCACTTCAGTTTTCAATAAATTCAAATTATACAAAATACTTCACGTTGTTGTAGATCTGGCCAGAATTTGTCAAGAGATTTAACATACAGCGAATTGCAGAATTCTATGGGTCGACTGAAGGGAATGCTAATATCGGTATGTCTAAACACATTAAGCGAACAAGTACTCTGATACGGTATACCTACACCCCGGTCAAGCTAACTGCGCACCTGGCGGCCGTGACGTCACATTTACTCTCTGGTACGAACAGGGAAAACGCAAAGTTCGAGGGAGAGTCGCATACCAGCGAGGTGCGCAGTTAACGTGACCTGGTTGTACAGCACAATTTTCTTAATAATTAATTTAATTTAAATTCTAGTGAGCGTGGACAACCAAATAGGAGCAGTAGGATTTATTCCTAGAACACTGAGTAGTATCTATCCCATCGGACTGGTTAAAATAAACCGAGACACTGGAGAGCCAATCAGAGATTCTAAAGGCTTATGCCAGGTAGTTTCAACTTTTTTAATTTAACTATTCAAAATATTTCCCTTACATTACGAGTATCAACCAAAATTTCAAACTCTAAATAATTATGCAAAATGATGATACCTAATCAATTTTGAAGAAACATGTAAGTACTAAATTGCTATGAAATAGGCTGATGCTTATAGATCTGTTTTTTAATATTTTAGTTAGCGGGACCTGGAGAACCAGGCGTGTATGTGAGTAAAATAAACCCGAAGCTAGCTACCAGAGCGTACTTGGGATACGTCGATGAAGAAGCCTCTAAAAAGAAGATAATAAGAGACGTCTTTTCTTTTGGTGACTCCGCTTTTATTTCAGGTAAATAACAACTACAGAACTTGCTGTTTTTATTAAATTAAATTTTAAACATTGTTCATAATGATGAGGGTGCGTTTTTTGCCAACTCAAGGTTGATAGTTTGACATTATGAAACGCGCAAACAATTTTTTACTTATTAAAAAGTATAGGTAGGTACATTGTCCCGATTAGCATAGAACGTAGCTATATACCGGTGCTACTTTGGTTTATGTATGTACAAGGTTGTACTTACCTACGTATACTTGTAGCAGTTAAATAAATTGTTTTCACAGGTTAGTTGGTAGGTAAGTTATTTTAGCAGAGTAAGGTCTTAAAAACTTTCCAACACAAACTTGATTGATCTCTGATTTAGTAACTCGCCAGTCCATGTATCAGATGTACTTACCTACTTGCCTGATCACCAATATAACCAAGAAGTACCTACCTGTTCCAAGCTAAATAAATACAACACAACAGTATTGTTTCTCCCTGCACTCGCCAGTGCATGTACCTACCTATCAGATAACCTATTATCCTGATCACTAACACAACCAAAAAGTGCTTACCTAAGTACCGATTCCAGGCTAAATACGACAGTAGGTATTGTTATACAAATAAGTATCGTTTCTCCCTGCAGGCGACATCCTGGTGGCAGACGAGCTGGGCTACCTGTACTTCCGCGACCGCACGGGCGACACCTTCCGCTGGCGCGGAGAGAACGTCAGCACCACGGAGGTGGAAGGTGTCATCTCCAAGTTGGCAGGACAAAGGGATGCTGTTGTGTATAGTGTTGAGGTAAAAATTCATTTTTAATGTCGTGTCTTGTAAGTAAGTAAATCTGACGAAATTAGGTAGTTACACTTGAATTGAGAACCTCCTCATTTTTTTTAAGTCGGCTAAAAATGTGAGATTCGACATTTTTTGCTTTCGTAGTTTCTTGTTCTTGTCCCAGCGTGTTGTTTTGTAATGTGCTGTCAGATATTTTGCTTAAAAAACTTACATTTAAGATTACCAATCTTAACGTGTAATAAATAAGTCGGTATAATGAAAAAACCTTTTAAGCACATAAGCATTTGCAGTCAGGTATGATAATTATCCTATTTTCTATCTAAATGTTACAGATCCCGAACATAGAAGGGCGCGCTGGTATGTGCGGCATCGTTGACGTGGATGACTCTCTAGACCTGGATCAGCTGCTCAAGGACCTTTCCAAAGACCTTCCCAAATATGCCAGGCCGATCTTCATTAGGAAAATGACAAGTGTTGATTTGACTGGTAAGCACAACGATGATCGTTTTCCATTCAATATAGTTAGATACACAAGTCAGTGTGTAGAAAAAGCTAGAATAATAGGAGTAGGGGAACCTGTTGTACTTAGGCCAGTTTTTCGAATTTTGATTTTTTGAAAAATAATGGTGATAGTTAAACTTGTCTAGTGCAGTTATATTTAAAGATCATTTAATTAACTACATAATTCATTCATAAAATTGTGTATAATTTAAAAAAATTGGGCATACTAGCTGCTAGAAAAAAAAAGGGAAAACTGTCCTAGGTACAACAAACCAGGTGTACCTTGGACCGTGTACGTTGTACCTATTTAAATTTAAATAAATGCTTATATTCGCTTCAATTTGTTAATTTTCTGTTAAATTATTATTTGAAATACCAATTATTACAGTTATTAGCAACAATATCTAAGTAAAAGTATTTTTTTAAAAAGATCATCATCCATATTTTTTGTACTAATTATTTTTCACAATTTTTTGGCAACAAATCACTTAAGTTTAAGCCGGCTCTCCAGTCCATGTTCAGCCTTACACAATCAACTAAAATATGACAATATTCAACATTTTTTCTAGAAAATTTTGTTGAATTTTGATATGTTATGTCGTGTAGAACAAAGTACGCGCTGGAGTGGCTTTAAATTGCAATCTAGTTTTTTTTATTTCTTATCATTTAACATAAATTCTAGCAAAATATCCATTAAAACCGCTTTATCAACAAAAATAATCTTAAAAAAGTCATATGAAGATACATTAAACGTAAATTTAAAAAACATTAGAAATTAAAAAAATACCTATCAAAAACAGACTTTAAATTGATATTTTGAGGTCTTCGGGGCATTGTATCTATAACAGTATGATATGTTTTTTTTATTACAATAAAATTCTCATTAAAACGTATGAAAATCAGTGACCAAGGTACATCGCTAGTTGGGTGGTCAAGGTACAACATTGCGACTACTTCACTTAATAAGCACACTATACCCACTTCCATTTGAGCTTAGGATCTGAAACTCATATAGTCCAGTAGCTAGATATATAAAGATTATGTTCTAACTATAACCGTTTTGTCAAACATGCAACATTTTTCATAAATGGACATGAAGTAAACCTCCAAAAACTCACTGCGTCAGTGTAAAATATTAAATTACCATTTTTTCTTGTACTTGCACGGCGTCGGCGAATCTTAGCTAAATATACGTTAATGTTGACAAATAACGTATGTAATACCCTAGACAACTTTTCATAAAACCGCATAATTTAAAAAATATATACAATTGTTTTAGGTACAACTCTGTCCAAGGTTCAACAGGTTCCCCTACCAATAAAGATCTATAAAAACTTTAACGTAGTATTTAATGTCGATTACGTTTTGATAAAATCGCTTCCCTTCGTTTTAGGGTTCCGTACTCACAGGGTAAAAACCGGAACCTAAGTGTACCTACTTATTTATTAAACTTTTGTGCTAGTCTAACTTGCGTCGTTGCTATTAAAATCTTTATAGGAGTTTGCAGTTCAGTTAATATCACGTCAGTCAGGGTCCAGTCAGTGGTCCATTTATTTTTTTTTAATTTTTTATTATTTTATAATTTAGTTGTGCATTTTTTCTTTTTTACAGGAACTTTCAAAATGAGGAAAAACGATCTTCAGAAAGAAGGCTACGATCCAAGTAAAACATCAGATAAACTTTACTACTTGGATCCGAAGTTAGACAAATACATATCATTAGGAAAGACGGAATATGAAAGCATTATCTCGGGACAAACTAGACTTTAATTTGATTTCTACATTATTTAGTTAATACATCTTTACTTATGGTTATTCTATAGAGTATTGCTATGAACTTCTGTAAGCTATTGGAATATACATACACTGTAAATTATACAAATAAATATCGTATGAAACTTCATGAAGTATTATTAATCAGAAGACGAAAGTATGGGAAAGGAAGTGTGAACTAAATGTTTTTTTAACTGTTATTCTAAACATAGATAACCCAAAGCCATAATCCAATATAAAAAGTATTTAAAAAAGTTATTGATAGGGATGTCACTCTTCATTACTATAGATAAAAGAAAGCCAGAAAAGTTTTTGAAGTAATATTATTATTTCGTTCTTTATTATTAACATCTTGAAACAGTAGTATTATTTAACTTCATTTTCTGGTTTTATGGGTCTACCTCTTTACTATACAATTTCATTGTTTCAATATTTATTTTAATTATTAAAAAAGATCTTTTTATGTTATGAAAGGAAATCACTTATTTAAATTCTAATTTATTCATACATTGTATCTTGCACCTGAACCTTTTATGCTGGAAAACCTGTATCACATAATGGTTACGAAGGGATCTTTAAATATTTATTTCGATAGTCTATCGACATTATACCTACTGTCGATTGATGCTACTTCACTACATCCATTCGGTGTAATGTCATTACTGTCAGTGTCAAAGGCAAAATTGGTCGAGTCGTCTGGACCAAAAGTTTGTTTCCCGTTATTTGTCGGCAATTACATGAATACTTTGGCTTGTGAAATTGCCGCTGTGGACCTGTAGAACCACACAGTGGGGCGACACTCTTTAGTTAGGCGCCTTTCGTGGCGGAAGGCAGTCATCATGTTACTTGCAGTGATCGCTATTGTGTTAGCGTGCATCGCAGTTTGGATTTCTCATGGTTTTCTGTATACAGTGGCAGCTTCTGCTCTTTTTGTGGCACTCTACGCCGTAGTGTTCCATACTAGGTGGTGCTACGTAGCTCTAAAAACTACACCAAGGGATTTAAGGTAAATAAAAATTGGCACGTCACCTTGCTGTGTTTATCCATTATATTGCAATTTCTGGACTGTAATACTCTATCAACCCAGTTTATTAATCGGCATTCCTTACGACTTTTACATACTTTTAAAGTTTCTGCCTATTACTGCATGTTACCTACTTTCAAATTGACCACAATCCAGTTAGAATAGAAGAGCCAGAAATGTATGTTATTTGAAGTCTTAATTTATAAAACATACAATAACACCTTGTAACAAACCTATTACCCGAATATTATAAGGGTTTAGACAATTAAAATGAAATTCACATATTTTATTATTTTGTAACTTTTTTTTTAAATATGAGCCAAAAATCTTTTTTTTTAATGTTATAGACTAGTTCAGTCTAAATACATCCAGTAACAGAAGAAACATTAGTATAATATAAATGAAAATGCATTCTAGGGCACTGATATCTTATCTGCAAATACTGTGGACCGCACGGAAGTTTTCCAATAAGAACTGGACCCTGCCGGATATATTTCATGATGTGGTTCAAAAGCACCCAGACAAACCATGCTTCATGTTCCAGGATGAAATATGGACTTTCAAAGAGGTAACATTTATATTTATTACTTTGAACTAAACAGTAAAGTCAATTATCCAATCTGTATTTAATTAATTAATCATCATTCATTCTACTCATCCCTTTTGATCGGAAAATGTTAGTGTGATAAGCATTTTGTTTCTTAACAATCATCAAAAATTTGCTTATTGTTGGGAATATTTCTTGAATTGTGTGTCATTTTAACTTCATTTATATTTTAAAATTTACAATTACAATAATTTTTGTCTGTAGGTCAAATAAAAACCAGAATGACATTTATGTAATGGTGAATGCTTGAAATAAAAATACCTATTTTCTTTAGATATAAGTGAAAGAAAATGAAAGAGAAATTTTCTTGTAAGAAATTGCTCAGTTTTCTAAATAAACAGCTCTGAATTTACTGTTTGCTTCAGCTATCCTGTGATCATGTTCCTTGTTAGCAAGTTTCCTATTAAAATTTTATGTTTATTCCTTATCCAAAGTTGTTATTGATGAATTTGGTATTGTCATCATCAGAACATCAAATCGTAACACATGTCAATATCACATGATTATCTCATTACACCCATTTCCTCTGAATAGAAAGGTGATTAAAAAAATTAATTTAGCATTGTACATTAAACATTAATAGCCTTATTTTCATGTAGACATGGTAATTACACGTCTTAATTAGAATGCCAGTATATGATTCTCATGTTTTCCCAGTTCAAAGTTCAAGGATTGAAAGATATTTATTTATATTCCAATACAAATACCTAAATTAATTTATTGGTTTATATGTACTTAATTGTCAGCTCTGAATGAAGCATTTTATCAATGACTCTCCATAAAAGTTCATTCACCTCTTGTTTAAACGTACAAGTCAATTAAATAGTTTCCATCCAGGGTCATTAGTTAACATAATAATGGAAGAGGTACCTACACTATGACCTCATTGTAACCAATTTAACAATAATAATTAAGTTTTGTAAATATTTTCCTGTAAAATTCTACACCATTCTACTGAGATTTTATGTTAAACTAGCTGTGCTCGCGACTTCGTACGCGTGGAAATCTAATCGTAATTTTCCCATGTTTTTTCACCGTTTAAATCTTCCCCAGACTACAACAATCATTTCAAACCAAAATCAGCCAGATCAGACCAGCCATTCTCGAGTTTTAGCGAGACTAACGAACAGCAATTCATTTTTATTATATGTATAAATAAATGGTTAATTATTTTAATAGGTTGAAGACTTCAGTCTTCGGATGTCTGCTGTCATGAAAGCCCAGGGGATAAAGAAGGGCGATGTAGTCGGGCTGCTCGTCAGCAACTGTCCCCAGCTGCCTGCGATGTGGCTGGGCAACGCCCGCCTCGGAGCCATCACTCCTCTCATCAACACCAACCAACGGGGAAATGCTTTACTGCACTCGGTCAATGTGGCGAAATGTGACGTCTTAATTTTCTCGGAAGAATATCACTCTGGTAAGATTTACAAGATAAAGACGAATATTGCATATGAATATTTCAAACACTAGTTAAAATGTAAGTGTAGTGAAGTGACTATTTAAACATTAATATTTATGACTTGTGTCACACAACAATGAATTACCATTTCAGTTTTAGACAATAAAACTGCCTACATTAAACATGTATGGAACGACTAATAGGAAATAAACTTCTGATAATTGTATTTTTTGCTTTTCCAGCTGTTCAAGACATTTCAAAGGAACTTAACCCTTCATTGAAGCTGTTCAAGTTTACCCATCGTCCCCTTCAGCCTTCCAATCCGAAGCAAGAAGGGGCTGGGGACAGTATTCCAGACTTGACGTATCTGCTGGAATCCACGCCACCAGCCCCGTGGACCTTGGCTAACGCTGACGGGTTCCGTGGGAAACTGCTGTATATATACACTTCAGGGACAACCGGCCTTCCTAAAGCTGCAGTGATATCTAATACCAGGTAGGACCTGAAAATTCCTACTGTATTTAGGTAGAGTTAGTCTGTGGGCATGAACGCGATGGCAGGACGACGCGCGGCGGAGCGGCGGCGATCCATACAACAACATACATGGACAGTATATTGGCCGCGGCGGAGCGGGGCGATCGCAATGAGGGTTTTCGCGATTTAAAAATCCGCCAGATGGCGGGACGTGGATGTAGGGTCTGACTGCTGCGTGATTGGTGGATTTTGACATATCTGTCAATGTCATGTCAAAAATAACCAATCATGCAGCATTTGGACCTCGCGTCTACGTATTGATATCTGACGGATTTTTCAATCGCCAAAACCCTCATTGCTACTCCTCATCAACGCCGCCGCTCCGCCGTCGCTTCGCCCTCCGTCGCATCGTCCCGCCATCGCTCGTCGCGTCGCCAGTTTCGTGCCCACAGACTCAAAAGAGCCTTCTCTCTTGTAAGCTATCTGTGAATTCCTATCATGAACCAAATGATTAGCATTTCATACTTAAACTTAGTCCATTCATTGATCAAACCAACTGAAGGTGATCTTTAATCAAAGAAGAAAGAAAAATTGTTTATTTGGTTCAAAAAATATTTTTGTTGTTTGTATCATATTTGCACAAAATTATCAAAACTCTGTTAATTGTTATTGTATCTCATGCAATCACATCAATCATTGTAGTACACACATATTTATAAAAATATTTTCCTCCATCTTTTATTTTTAATTGCTAGGTAAACATGAATCTTAAAATAAATCACATTTTAAGCGTAATCACAATCAATTTTTTTCCTGGATGAAAAAACTAATACTCATGAGATCACTTTCTGTCTGTCAAACTGTCACAAACCTACAAGCAGCTATCTTAGAATTACATACTTAATTTAATAGTAGAACTATTTATGCTAATTTGGCAAACGACATACAACAATAGCATGCAAACACAAATATTTACCAGTGTTCATCACTACATTATAGATTTTATCTTAATTACAATATTTTCAATAATTTTTTTTTATCAGATTTGTGTTCATGGCAACGGGCATCCACTTCTTACGGCTGAAGAAGTCTGACAGGATATATTGCCCGCTGCCACTATACCACACGGCTGGAGGGGTCATCAGTGTAGGCCAAGCCCTCATCCTTGGCTGCACAGTAGTGATCAAGGCCAAGTTCTCAGCGTCGCAATACTTTCCAGACTGTGCCAAGTACAAAGCCACGGTAAGTTTTATAAAAATGACTAGCGGCCGCCCGCGACTTCGTACGCGTAGAGTTCTACTTCTAATGGCCCTGTTTTACCCCCTTAGGATGTCTAGGATGCCTGTTCTTATCGGATGTCTACACTCCTATAAGGTACCTGTAGTACCTACTAAATTTCAAGTTTATAGGTGTTATAGTTTCTGAGATTTCGTGATGAATCAGTTAAATCGAAAGTTGTGGATAAAAAAAAGTTAATGGTATTTCGCTTTTATTTAAAGAAGATTTGAAACTATAAAAAAATAAGTATTACAAGCAGTGACAGACAGTATTTTATTGAACGTAAATTAAACAGTTTGTGACAACGTCTGGTCGTAATTTACTGATAGTTTGTTTGGTTAGATACTTAAACATAGAGGCAATTGTGTCATGAACTTTATTTACATAATTACATTATTCATTTGAATTGAACCTCTCAAACCTGTTATAGACTGGTTGATCACGTCACAAGCATTGAAACTATAAGTATACAGGGTGTTAGGTAAATGGGTATATGAGCCGACACTAGCCCATGTTAACATGGTCATATAAATGGTATGGTGAAGTCAGAAAATTGATATCTTCATTTTAATTATTTTATTTTTCATAGAAATCGTATTTTATAAAATTTATTTTGTATGAAAATAAGCAAATAAATATAATGTGTGGTGACGTAGGTATATTATAAGGACAATCAGTCATATGATCATATCACTCACCAGCTGACGCCACTATAGAAAAGCACTGAAGCGGTAGGACTATCACATTTGCACTCACTTGGATGGGACCACTGTAGTGTCCTTGCAATTGCGTATTGCCAACTGCTAAGTACTCGTATAAAAACGAAAGCCCGTTTTTTACCGTTTTGACTAATGTTTATTAATACAATTGCAAAGCAAACAAAAAACATAATTTACAGTTGATTTAATTAAATAAAGTGTGTTTTAAATAAGATGGGTTTATAATTATCGGCGAATGTTGTAAAATACCCTAGAAACCGCTGATGATGATGAACAATCCACCGTATTATTTCCCAGGCAGGGCACTACATCGGAGAGATGTGCCGCTACATCCTGGCCACGCCTCCGTCTCCCGCCGACACGCAGCATAACGTACGCATTATTTACGGGAACGGACTGCGGCCGCAGGTAAATACATAAGTAAATAGATTATCCTCCTTTAATACACTGTCAGACTATACAATGTGTCCGGGCATGTAGTGATCAAACTATAAGGGCGTAATCTATGGACAATTTTATCGATGAAAATACTTCAAATTTGGGGCTAGACCCATTTCTCGCAAATTTACAAGGATTTAAGTTTTAAATTTTAAGTTTTCACCTATTCCTTCAAAAACAAGTGATAGCGTGGGTAGCTTAACACTAATAAGCAAATATGTTATATCATGCGATAGCCAATAAAATTATCTATTAGTAGAAATAGAAAACAGATACAAGTTTCATACGTACATAATATTTTAAGGGTGTAAGAATGGATTTAATTAGAAATAAACATGATTTTTTTCACTTATTTTTCAGTTATTTCCCAACACAAGAAAAACCAGGTCATCGATAAAATTGTCCATAGATTACGCCCTTAAAGTTTGATCACTACATGCCCGGACACACTGTATAGCAGCGCCATCACCTAGTCTAAAGGAAATTACGCTCGTATCCACAAACAATGCTTGCTTAAGTAAAGCAGCAAATCAAACACACAGCGTTAAATAGAGATCTGTGATTGGTTCGTGTGTCACCCTGTGCGTCCACGCGCACTGTGAGACCTCATAGTAATGTTGGTGAATCTTAAAACACTATAGTGCAAGTTTGGGACCGGACAGCGGTATAAAAATTAGTTTGAGTGGTACTTAGGTATTAAAAAAGTCTGTTCCACTTACTCTCGCATGCAGTACACTGAAAATCGGCATCGTGACCTTCGTTACCGTGGGTCGATATGACATCTACAAGGGGCCATTAGTAGCCATTGTGAAAGGGTGGCACTGCTCATCTCGCTATTTTTGTCTAACATTTTTCGAAATATGTACTTTTATTTACATCATTTACATGTATGTTTCAGATTTGGACAGAATTCTTAAAAAGATTCAACGTGAAGCACGTAATAGAGTTTTACGGGGCTACTGAAGGAAACGCCAATATTGGTAAGACATTAAACATACACTTTTTACATTTACGGTATTACTACCAGTAAACTACAATAAACTAAGGAGTTTATGAGTTAGTCAATACAGTAAAGTCCAACAATGAAAGCCCCTTATTCAAATTCTAAATGAAACAAAATAGGAAACATTTAGTATTTAAAATTATTAATCGAATCAACTAGACGAGAAAAGATAAATCAGAATTTTATTACATATTGTAGTTCCAATTAACTGTTTGAAAATCTTCTGTCCTTTTCAGCCAACACCGATGGTACCCCTGGAGCGATCGGCTTTGTGTCCCGGATCATCCCATCAGTATATCCCATCGCCATCATCAAAGTGGACCAGGAAACGGGAGAGCCCATACGCGATTCTAGAGGTCTCTGTCAGGTACAGGAACACTCATAATATACTCACTTATAAAATAACTGTCTGTATGTCACCTTTTCGCGGTTAAATCTCTGAACTGATTTTGATTAAGTTTGATACAAGATGTGGTTTGACACCCTAGGATAGGATAGTCTTTCTGTGAGAGTCCAAAATTCAAAAGAGGACAAAACCGCGGGAAAAAGCTAGTACGTACTTACATTATTATTATCTTATTTAAAACCATTTATGCGGATGATTTATTGAACGCGCCAAATCGAGGACATGACAATGATAAATGCATTGATGATAACAATAATGTCTTTTGTTCCTATTTGTTGTCAGTATATGTATCTGACGTTATAACCGAGGTCCCAGTATATTTTATGTAGGCCAATTTAAGTTAACTTTACATTGTTTTTTGTTCCGTTCACAGCAATTTATTTGCAATAAGAAAATATATTTTACGTGCGTGTCTGTTAAGGTTACTTAAGATAGCTAGATAGAGCGATAGAGATTGACGCGGCATTTTAATGTCTCAACCGTTTGACCAGTATCGAAATAAAAAAAAACATTTGAATTTTACCCCATCAGCGTAAAGTTGAAAATTCAGTTCCAATAAAGAGTAAGCCTAGGTATATAGTTATAGTTGGACCCGATTCTAATTTGTATGAAGAATCGGCCGATACCAAATCGGTGTAATTTGCGCACTTCCATCATGCCCATACTGATTAACTGCCCGATTAAGCTATCGGCCGACAAAAATCGGTGGTCTGCGCCTAGGCTAAACGAAATAGAGCCGTATCTCTTCTGCCCTAAAACAAAACATACTTTTATTCCACAGTTAGCTCAGCCAGACGAGCCAGGCGTGTTCATAGGAAAGATCTCCCACAACAACCCTTCTAGAGAATACCTGGGATATGTGGACAAAGCCGCTTCGGAGAAGAAGGTCGTTAAAGATGTGTTTGCGCATGGAGACCTGGCTTTTATATCGGGTAAGATAATTTCTGTTCAGAATAGGATGCATTTTAATATCAAAGTTATGTTAGCGATGGGTCTTTATTGTAATTTCCATGGTCCGCAAATTTTCAAAAGCCTAGATTTGCTACGGGTTGATTTAAAGCTTCAATTTATAGATATCAAAAGTCCCATGGAAATAATCATAGATAACACATTCCCGAAGAAACACCCTGATCTGTCATATAAAACCATAAACGACAACCGATCCATCGATATACATTTTATGAGCGTTAAAAACGAAACTAAACGTCAGGCTAAATCATATCGTATTTTCATGCATTTATGTCATTTCGCTGTTCAGGCGACATTCTAGTGATGGGCGCTCTCGTATCGAATAAAGCAACGTCTATAATATTGATATAATAATTTTCACCTGATTAGTACACCCAAATATCTGAAATTTCCCAGGCTAAAATAGAACGTAATTACTTACCGTTACGTTCCATTTCAATATGTGCAGAAAGACTAAACACTCCCAAGCTAAAACACATCTTACTGCCATACAATAAAATTTTCCCAGGCTAAAATGTGTCTTATGAACATTCATTTAAATGTCATTTTTCTGTGCAGGCGACATCCTGGTGGCGGACGAGCTGGGCTACCTGTTCTTCCGCGACCGCACGGGCGACACCTTCCGCTGGCGCGGAGAGAACGTCAGCACCACGGAGGTCGAAGCCGCTGTATCAAGAGTCGCTGATCATAGAGACGCGGTTGTCTATGGAGTGCTGGTAACTGTTTGTTCTATGGTTTTACATATTGTAGCGCGCATCGTACTAGCCCGGCTGGTTTAGTATGTAGCTGAGCTGTACAGAGCAGCTATAATTAAGGTCCATTTTCTACCCACCCGAGACAAATTACAGAAAAATGACATTAAATTTTTAACGGATTGTACATCGCCCCTAGCGGTAACGTTCAAGAACTAACATTTTCATAATGTTTTTTTAACGCGCTTACTAGTGAGGACGTTTGGTGTAAACTCAAACTCGGCCCACAGGTGTCAAACGTAGTGATATTGAAAACGTAAACGGTTCTTTAGACCTTTTTTCGTCGAGAAATACTTTGCGTATACCTACTGGCCGCTGGGACGGCCAGTGGGCTATGTGTAGTATGGGACTCCTAGCCAGAAGGATGGGTCCTACCTACTAAAACCCGAGGGTGTTCTCCGGGACCAATAAAACGGAGCCGCGAGTTATTGTCCTAAATTGGACATTCGTCCGCGGCTCACAGTTATTTACACCTGGTTTAGGTTGGCACTTGCATTAGGTTGATACTCAGCAAAAAAGTACTCTGTTCTAGTGTTGCCGAACTATCGATAGTAAAACTATCGACAGTTTTCATTCGAAAAAGCCTTCTCCATCTATAGGCCTATCGATAGTATCGATACTGTCGATACTATCGATACTATCGATAGCACAAAACGAGGCAATACTATTGAATATGTGCAATACTATCGATACTATCGATAGTATTGTCGCTTTTGAATAAAAAGCTATCGATACTATCGATTGTTCTAGACTATCGATAGTTTGGCAATATACAATAGTATCGTTTACAATATTTGAGTCTATCGATAGTCGACTATCGATCGGCAACACTACTCTGTTCTACATAAATAAAGTTCCTTTTCCCGCCCTAAGTACCGAACGTCGAAAGTCGCGCAGGCATGTGCGGCGTCGTAGACGTAAATGGTTCTTTAGAACTGGTTTAGGGTGACATTTCACTGTCCACGCATCAATAAGTACTCTATCCAGCTATAAATAAAGTTCCTTTTTCCTCCCCACCTCAGGTTCCAAACGTCGAAGGTCGCGCGGGCATGTGTGGTATAGTCGACGTAGACGGTTCCTTAGACCTGTCTCAACTGGCGCGTGCGTTGGCCCGCGACCTGCCCGCCTATGCACGTCCCGTGTTCCTACGGGTCATGACCAGCGTCGACCTTACGGGTAAGTTCTACAACAACTAGTAAGTTATCGACATTGCGTAGCTAACTTACGCGACTATTCCCACCGCTGCAACTGCTGTGTAGTCAGGATCTATAACTTGACCGACAATAAAAACCCAACCAGTGAAGGTCAAGTTTGTCCCGGGAGCTATACGAAGCTAACTCAAACAAACGCCTCTCGTACGAATTTGAACGTTTGCCTCTCGACTTACCGCTAAATCGACGTCATAATTCAAGGGTTTAACGTACGCTTCGTAAGCCAGCTTCGCAATGTCGATATCTGCCTATACAGTAAAGTCGTGCAAAGGGTCTCAAACGCGACATGTATAAGGCAGTACTTAAGTACAGTCAGCGTCAAATAGTTCGTGACACCCAAAGTGGGCAAAAAGTTGACAACAACTTTATTCCAATTGTAACAACGACGACGAACTTTTTGGTTACTTTGGGTGTCCGAACTATTTGACGCTGACTTTACTTGCGCTTGGCGTCTCAGATGTGTTGCTTCAGCCATGGTCATAAACATACTACTAATTCTGCTCTCAGTTTCATTCTACTATACTGGAACGCGAAGGTTTAGAATTCTATATTGAACTAAACAATTTTAATTTGTTTCTATTATGAATTTAATATTCTAAAAATGGCCCTGCGTTACCAGCAGTATAGAATAGTTCCACCTCCACTCTACTTGTGGGTGCATAAAATGTGACTATGAAACCAAAATACGAATGTCAGGCCTCCTTAACTCCCCTGACCAATGCGGCCCGAAATTTAGGCCCTGCATTGCGTCCGGTAAACTAGAGACCAAAAATGGCATGATAACGTTGCTGATGTGTATGATAATAATGATAATAATATTAAATGTAAAGAAAAAAAAAACATTTATTAACAGTGGACAATAAAAGTCATGTGGAATAAACAACAACTAAACAACACATGAAAAAAATATCAATAATAAAATTATTCAAACAAAATAATATCAGCAAATATGTGATTCTCAAACGAATATACGCTTGTGTGTCGCAAATTATCATTGCAAGCATCTGGTTTTCAGTAGGTCCCTTGCCGAGCGAGGTGAAAGTTTGTTCTTGTCCATAAAATAGAAAAAAACTATAGTGAATAAATTAAACAAAATAAGTTTGTCATATTGACAGTTTGTGTACAGAATAGAAAAGGTAAATTTTATTTTACAAATAAAATAAATAACATTTTATTAGTAAGTGATAAATATAGTACATGCTCAAATCAAATATTTCTTTCAGGAACATTCAAAATGAAGAAAACAGATCTGCAAAAGGAAGGATACGACCCCTCTAAGGTTAAAAATGATAAACTTTACTACTTAGACGTCAAACTAGGCAGGTACCTTCCACTCGGCTCCGATGAATACGAGAAAATAAATAAAGGGGAAATTCGAATATAAATTAATAAACAATAAAGGCCATTGCTCAATTAATGGTGCTCAATAGCATGGAAAAATCTCCGAGATATTTGATTGGTTGTAAATTTGTAATATATGCGTAATTTGTTTTATTTATTACTTTAAAATAAAATTAATATATACTAATATTATAAATGCGAAAGTAACTCTTGTCTGTCAGTCTGTCTCGCTTTCACGCCTAAACCACTGAACCGCTTTTGATGAAATTTGGCATAGAGATAGGTCTCTAGAGTCCCGGGAAAGGACGTAGGATCGTTATTATCCCGGTTTTTGAAACGAGGACGCGCGCGATGAAGTTTTTCTGTGACAGACAAAATTCCACGCGGGCGAAACCGCGGGCGGAAAGCTAGTTTAGAATATATACGGAGCTTTTTAACTGTACTGTTCCAACTGTATAATTGATCAAATCAACAAGAAATATTATATTTTCTAGCGATTTATTGAGACACGTGATTTATATCGCGTTAAAAGTAATTGATCACAACTTTCTTTGAATTAGTGAAGCATTTGCCTGCATTTGAGTCTATTAAATGAGCAATGACCTAAATATCAAGTGATTTCAAGTAATAATATGTTGTGGTGTTGGTATTTCTGCTACTTGTACAATTATTAATGGTTAATTACGGTTATAACTCAACAACTTTTAACTCATAATTATGTTCTGACGATGTAATATTAGTTAATTAGAATAAAAACGTTACTGTTAGAATATAATGCTGTCCAATGCAATTACTAGGCGAATTCATTTTAAGTATTATTATTTAAAAAACCTTGTTATTACTGAAAAAAGGTCAACAATATTTAGATCTGTCAACTATGAATGTTATAGCTCACAAAACTTTGTTGTAAAAGTAGTTATCTAACTTTATTTAAGCATTTATATTTAGACACCAACCTACAATCATTTTCTTAGAATCGCGCTATTGGTTAAAATAGGTAAACAAAATTTGTTGAAGCTAAAATAATAAATTTGTACATATTAATTAATATATTACACTCTTACTCATTTAACTGGTGTGAAGTATATTTTATAAAGTACATTATTAAATATATGAAGAGGATTGAATATTTTGGCAACGCTTAAGGATGCTTATTAGCACAAAATATAAAGAAATATAAAGTTTGTCGACACAGGGAATAATTTAACTGTACTTAGTAGATAAGTTAAATGGTGTCGGTAATAATACTCGAGGAGCTTAATTGTAATGTGAAAACAACTAAAACTTGTATATGTATACTACAGTCAGCCTTTTATAGTTCGCGACACCCAAAGTAGCCAAAAGTTCGCAACACGTCTTTGTTGTGATTGGAATAAGGTTGTGTTGTCAACTTTTTAGCCACTTTGGGTGTCACGAACTACTTATTTGACGCTGACTGTACCACACAGACTGCGGTACTGAGAAGAGCTCGCAGTAAGGCAAAAAAAAAGAAATAGCGTATTTTGTGATTTTAAGTTATTTTAGGCAATCGAGGCATGCTCGTGTGTGAGAGTTTAGCTATACTACTTATACAATATACATGTTTTTGAAAAAAAAATACAAAGATAAAATTCTATCCTGAAAATCATCTTTCCGCACTGTGCGCCCACAACTGTTGACTGATCTGATGAAAGAATCTCAGTAGATGATGACTGTTTGACTACTGCCTCTGCTTTTATCTCATGATACTGTCCGCTGAAAACAAATAAATATGCTATAATATAAAGCAATCTATATTAGGTCTGTTAGATACGAAAATGTTATTTATTTTCAATCTATTTTCACCGTTATTTAGTATTTAAAAACATTTAAGATCTGTCGAATGAAACTGTTGTTCTCGTTTTCGAATTTTTATATCCCTAGAGATAGGTCTAAGCAAATTGTTTAAATAAATTATGTACATTCAATAATTAGTTGTAATCTGATGTAACTTGTTATATTGAAAACTTTAATTGATGTAAAAATCGGGGTTTTGTCTAAATTAAACATTAAAAACTGTGGCATACGTGTTGGAATCAAATAATTCTGTTTATCTGGACATCTGTCCTGTCAGGCTAGGATGCGCGCCGTGATATACTTTATCGACATCGAAATGTACGGCCAAAAAAAATAAATGGCGTGATTGATAACCGCTTATCGTGACGCGCATCCTAGGACTACTGAACTCATATTGTTCTATTATTCTTCATAGAGTTAACTTCTTCTTCCTTTTTGGTGGTTTTTCCTTTTTAAATATGAATCATACGAGGATATGAAACCTAGAGGTTTCGTATACCAGTAGGCAGGGTCTGAAATCAAAAGTTCCAATGTCTAAAATCGTAAAAATCCCGTTATTAAAAACTAATGAAAAATATTGACGCAAAACCCCGTTAAGAAGTTCATAACAATTACTGTCTTATTTGTTTATGTATAAATGTATCTTGTTTACTTGCCGTATATGAAAATATTTTATCAAATTCACATGATAATGTCCCAATAACAATCATTCCAGTCTTTAACATTGAGACAGATAAAATATCTCTTTTATGCATTTCGTGATGTTAAAAATGTATAATGCCTGATTAATTATAAGTAAATATATTTTTATACAAATTCCCTTTGTTTCATTTACAAGTAGTATTCTTAAGCATCTTCTTTGTTTTACGAGTCAGTGACTGATACGATGGTTACGATGGTGGAAATTGACAATAGTGTAATTATAATAATTTATTGTTACTTAACTGATCTGCGAGTTTCTTGTTCTCTCGTCAATGTTTTGGTTTAAAAGTGTACATACTGATTATCTTTTTTAACCTCTGGTTGTTTTGCTCCAGAGTGTTCTCTCAAGATCATTTTTTTTTTGTTTTGTTCGTCAGGCATTTCTTTTATTTCGAAAAACCTAAGCATTGGGTAAATATTCATATATGAATTAACATTGACTGATCATTCTTTATATTTCGGTTTTGGCTTCGAACACGAGCGCGCCCGGTAAACCGTATTGTCCGAAATGTGATTACCGGTCTTGGCTTAGGGCACAGAATAAATGGGGCAAAAAGTGTACCCTTTTATACCTGCAATGGGTAATTTTGTTCCATTCAAACATACGTAGGTTGAAAGGTACCTTCTAAATTGGACCGGTCTACCTTTGAAGGAAAATAAAGATTGTGTTTTTTTTTTTTGAGAGGCTCGGCTCCCGACTTAAGTTATTTATCAGATAAATCTGAATGGATATAAATCTATCATCAGTCTGCCTTATTATCCTAATTTATGTAAAGGTAAACTATCTATTGATGGATTTAGTACTTTGCATTATTTATAAGCTACCTAAATGGAATATTATACAGTTGTGTTAAAGAAAATAAATTAGCTAACAAATTGCCCGGATTCAATGTAGTCAGATTACCAGATTACCAGGTAGTAGTCAAATTACCNAAATTACCAGGTAGTTTAGGAAAATTGCAAAATGCTTGTTCGATCTCCAAAACTTGTTAATCATAACCACTATAAAAGCCTTTTTGTTCCACCTACCTAAATACTAAAGAAGGAAGGTCAAAGACAAAATTGGCACAGAAATTTCAAAATTGGAAAAGCAAAAAAACATCAAATTAAATGTCACAAAGGCCGGCATCGTAATTTTTCGATATCCGCATTCCGCATCACGTTTGTATGGTATTTTTTTTGTATTACGTTTATATGAGTTGAGTTGAAGTGTGGTCGCGCGATCGTCTGCGGATCAGCTGTTGTCGCGCATGTGCACTGGGCAGCTGCGGGGTCCGCCAGCGCTCGACGCACCCCTTCGCGCAGTGGCGCGCTGAGAGCCGGGCCGCGCGTACGTGCGAACCGCGTGTTGTGTGCCTATAGTTAGCGCGCCCCACTGGGCTCGCAGCCAGCAAGCATGGACGCGGTACTGGCGGCGCTCGTCGCGCTCATGGCACTGGCTGCCGCGATGGCGGCCGTGCTGAGCACCCTCTCCAAAGCGGCTATCTTCGCTCTCCTCGCGATCGCACCCTGCGTCTACGGATACAGGAAGCGTATTTACGTTATAATCAAAACCCTGCCACGGGATCTCAAGTGAGTACCGACATGTTCATATTTACATTATCCGACTCTAATTTTATACTGCTCATCGAACGGTTACCGTACGGTTTTGCACGTGTGAACTGTAGTTTACAATAAGTTTAAATTTAAAATTTTATTCGCACCACGTTCCTGTTGCGCAGTAATCGTTCATGGTTTGAGCTCGGTTGGTAACCTAACGGAATCAATGACCATTGCCGCGGAGCACGGTTGGAACTTTCGTAACGGCCAGGTAATAAGAAAAGCATATTTTCGCATTTGCGACCAATAAAATGGCCGGAATTGTATTTGCATACCACTTACACAGAATGTAAGCATGGGAATTTATCGCCACGGATAAACAGAGTTCTGTACCCACTTTGAATGTTTATTGAAATACTCATTGTACGCGCTATCAAAGGTTAACAATGTGATATAACAAATGTTAAGTCCATCTGCTCAGTTTAAATTTACTAATCCACTACAGCCAGTATTTAAATTCTGCTTATTTTACATAAAACTTGATAACGTGAATCGATCGCGTCACATGCGAGATGGCAATAAAGGAAAAAGCGCTATAAAAATGTTCTTTATTTCGATTCATGACAATTTTATATTAAAGGTTATGCTGTGAACAATATATGTAGAATACCTATATTTGCAAAGCAGGATTTTATATTAATAAACATGCGCAGTAATTTAACTTAAGGAAAAAGGTTCTGTCGTCGCCGGCTTTGGCTGTCGGTTCTATGCGGATATTTTATTTTACTTCACTGTGCGATAAAGCAGAAAACTAGACTATAACAAAATAAATCCATACATTCTATGGACTTTAAACACTTGATATAATTTTACTTTTGCTGCAGGTGGCCCAAATGTTTAAGCAAAAAATTTATGTTGATTGTAAACTTACTTACATTTTAATGATAAGGAAGTTTACGTTGGTAGGTACACTAGGTAGGTATCTAGAGTATTATTTTGTGTTAGGTCAGTATTATGATGCATCCCAATTATTGCCAATTGATTGATTCGTGGTCGTGACAATGAAGACATTGTTTATGCTTAGGCGCGGTTGCGCAAGAGCTTAAACAATTCGCAATTTGGCATTGTTTATGCAGGTTTGGATTATTTAACTGTAAAACATTTAAGAATATAAAGTATTTACTCTAGAACGTTAAGTAGTAAGACGTCGACGTTACATCAGTTTTATTCCCAAATAAAATTAACTTAATTTCGAAAAGCGACGTATTTCTATACTATAATTTCTATGAATATCATCCATCAATAAACATCAAACGATGTTTTTACCTCCATTGGCCATGTGTTTTAGGAATACAACATTAACTACATTAATGGACACTGCATGTAGCTAAGTATACCTTCGTACCTTTTAAATTGTTTAAGGGTCTACTTGATCAAAGAACATGAAGGTCATCTAATTACTTTTCCATACTAAACAATTATTTGTAGAACTGTCTCTCCTATGTCCCATATTTTCTCAAAAACGCAGATAACTGATGAAAAATGTGTATTTATTCTGTACAAAAATCTGCACAGTTTATATTTACACAGTTGTGTAACTAGCCTAACACGGTGTTGTAATACCATCTCCGTGAAAAAGCAAACAGTGACACTGATAACGCACTTGTACAGTCGAAGCATATCAGCCAATACATTTTTGTTCAAAAATAGCACATATTACGATCTACATAAGATGCGATGGTTAACTTGATGTAAAGGCAGTCAATCTCGCGTATCATTAGGGCTGATACCCCGATAGCTTTGTCAATGATATTTGGTCTATAATATAAAGTGGTCCCCACAGAAATGATTGACGACCTATTTTAAGCACTGGTCGAGAACTTAGAGCACCGAAAGAGGTTGCAGGTTCGATAAATATTTAATTTAAAAACATGTCTATTAGCGTAATTACTCTTTTACCTTGTTTTATTTATTAATCAACGACGTAGTAAGCCGTCCACGTCGTCTTCTAAAGATAATCTCCAGACATTAAAAAAAATTAATCTTAAGCCGTCGTTTAGGTACTTTGATATTTACTTGTTTAATATTGTTAATTGAATAGGTATAATCATTTATCTTAACTTTCCCGATTTAATAATCGTCTTTTATTACTTGTGCGTGCCGAAATGCGTTTGAATGTTATCTTTAATCCATAATGAAATACAGCTTCTGATAACGCTGCCGCTTTGTTCTCAAAATTCATAAAAGCATATCTTTTCCTATAATTAGGCTATAAAAATAACGATTGATGCGCTCAAAATGCAACACGTAAAAGATTTATCACCTACAATTAATAAATATTAACATTACAAAGGCATGGGCAATTATAACAGTAAACGTTGATGGCGATGCGCATATAAATAAACAAAACAATTTATTATAATTTCACGGTGTGTAATTTGATTGAAACAAAAGAAGTGCGCTTAGACTGCCCGCAGACCTTTTATCGGCCGATAGTTTGGTTCTTATCAGTATGAGGAATCGACCGATACCAATCATACTGATTATCTGCCCGATAAAACTATCGGCTGAAAAAAGTCTAGTCTACGGGAACTAAGCAGCTACGAAGTTGTCACGTTAATAGAATTCGTAGCGTCGTAGCGTTATATTGTCGGTGCCGCAGCGTGCAGTCACGTGAGCATCGATCGGTCGTGTGCAGTGAGCACCGACTGCACTGAGCCGGTATCTAATCGTATGGGTCAGTAGCTCCACAGTATCCTATGGATTCTTTGTCTAATGTACGGAATGTACCTATCAAATGTGTAACTACCATAATTCGAAGACTGCTTGTAATCAAATTACAGATTAAATCCTTGTTGTTCCAAAGTGGTGGTAAGAAGCTACAAAAACTGCAATAGTTGATATGGGGTAGGAATGATTATATTAATTGATCTGATAGATTTGTCCTTACAATATGATCTTCAAACTCTACTTTACTTACCTCTACTCTTCTATTTATTTCTGTGAAATCTCGTTGCCCATCAGTTTCCAAAGCATACCTATGATTGAGTGTGATGAGAAGCATAATTTTGTCTGCTAAGATCGACGCGTAAACAATAGCTGTTATGTCTGACAGACGATCGTCTGATGTATTTATAAATCAATTAGCTCTATCTACAACTGCAAATGTTTTATTTTCTTACGAATGAATGCGTGGGTATAAGTTTATTGTTGAAGTTCATGGGAATGGTCACAAGTATTGATATTTTTTTACTTATAGGTCAGCATTCAGCTGTATTTTCTCATTGTACTCGTAGCAAGCTTCAGATCTAAAGAGAGTAGAGTCCTGTATTTCGTCGATTTTACGCGATGCCATTTTTCGTCATAAAATCGTTGATAAGTTTTTATCACGGTGGGCATCCTCCTAGCCCGGCTGAATGGTTTTCGGCTAAGACCTAGGTGTCACGTAGGGATGGAGAGAACCTACTCTTTAAGCTTTAAGTGTGGGGGTAGACCAGCACCGCGCACTGTTTATTTACCCGCGACCCTCTCTCTCCCCGTCAGCAGATTAATTTATTTATTATTCTGTTGGAAAAAGGTTGCTATTTAGTGTCACGATAACGCTTCAAGCGTTTTAGATTCTAGCAAATTATTTTCTCCCACACTAGCGAAATAAAATAAACGTGAATTAAATCTGTTACTTTAAAAGGTGCTCCATCACCGGGAGCATTTGCGTGTAATGTAACGTTACAGATTCGAGCATTACATCAGCGAGGGAGGTAAACCGAACATTTGCGCACCTTGTAATGAATGATACAAAACGAGTATAATACCTACATCGAGAACTCACGGCCGATGGGGCAGCAAGGTTCTGGAGTGGAAGCCTCGTACCGGAAAGCGCAGCGTAGGACCGACGACCTCATAAAGGAATGCAGGCCGCCACCAACAGGCCATTGTGGAAATCAATGGGGGCAGCCTATGTTCAGCAGTGGACGTCCTATGACTGAAAATGATGATGATAATACATCAGTGAAGGATAGAACCGAGCGTTTCAATGCGCGTCTTGTAATCTTCCTTGTAAAGTCGTCAGCAAGTGAGGTAGTAGGTATTGTAATTTGTAATGCTCAAAGTCGAATCTGCATAATGTTACATTACACGTGAATGCTGTGATGCACCTTTCAGCGTTTTGCGTCGCTGATTGCGTTGCAACTCAACCTCTCGTGACACGGGAACCAGACAACAACAACAACAATCTAATGAAGGGTACAAAGATTATAATGCCCGCCGTCTTACTCACTTGTTTGCTACAAAACGGTGTTATTTTGTTACTTCTTTCACGATGTGTTGAAATGAATGACGTCCTTGAAAGCCATCTGCTTGGAAACGTTGATCGCGTGATATAGGGTCATTATACCACTTTCCGTGGAAAATGACTTATAAATATCACTCTTATTTGTACTTATTTATCTACCTTTATTTTACATTTTGATGTAAATTAGTTTTATGATTAACTTAATAATAAACTACCATGCAAAGATAATTTAAACTTTTTATAATTTAGTATGTCTTAATTAGAAATAACTACGTCAATCAATGGCTATTTATTTATTTATTCTTTCGTGCCATTTATTTAGTAGGATAAGGCAAACTTCTCTGCTAGTTAATTTTGGCTATACCGATTCCTATAAATAAATGAATTTACTAACGAATTACTAATGTTTGAATATTGGGTATTTGACGTTTAATTGTCCCAGATTCGATTCCTAGTGGAGTAGGTAAATTAAGTAGCGTTTGGAATACTTCGTCCCTTCCTACATATTAATTATTAGGGTACACATATAAAGAAATTCTTAATTTAGATCCATTCCAAAATAATAGTACTTATCTACCTAATAAGTTATTTACAGCTAATTAGGCCACAACCTAAATAACTATTTACTGTTTCATTTTCTTTATTAAGTAGGTCGTTGCGTCAGAAATGTAATACATTTTTGAAGCAAATTCGTTAAATAAATAAAGTATAAGCAAACAATAGATGTCAATAGTTTAGGTTACTCATACATATTCAACAAAATAGGACCAATAGTTAAAGTCCAGAGACACAATGACATCATTTAATTTTTTACCTTTTTTTTTGCGATTGTATTGTCTACATAGTTTGCATGTTTTTTTCTTACATAAGTGCATGGATATGAAAAGAGAAAACATGGGTATAACACCAATAACTAGTTACTATGTCCAGGTTAAGACACGATGACAACAATTTACCTTTTTTGCGATTGTACAAATTGTATATTACGTATGTACTTATTGTCTACATTATTTGCATGCTTTTTTCTTACATAATTGCATGGGTCTAAAAAAACATGGTAAAACACCAATAGTTACTAAGTCGAAGTTGAGACACGATGACGTCATTTTACCTTTTTTGCGATTGTATATTTCATAGGTACTTGTTGTCTACATAGTTTGCATGCTTTTTTCTTACATAAGTGCATGGATCAAAAGAAAATCATGGTGGTTACTAAGGCTCCTTTATTACTAAGGTCATTTTTATCACCCTAGGGGAATGTACAGGAAATAGGGAGTATGCCTACCTGTCTTGATATAGTCCTGCTGACAATGTAACATTAGTTTTCCAAATCGATGCGATATCGCGATTTACACCAAGTTTTTGCGTTGCTACAACAAAGATGAATCTTACTTTATCCAATCATATAGTGTTTGGAACTTTGGAATAGGTATCACATGGCCTTTTTTAGGCATTTCTAGGACTCTGTTTTGACTTAACTTAGCATCACAGCGTGTAGACAAGCCTTGTTTTATCTCGGGATTTTTACCAAATTGCCGCACCGTGTGTATAAATTCCATGGTGTGTCATGGAGATGGAGTCATGTATCGAATGCTCCCGTTGTTTATCGAGTGCACCTTTGTTTTTACGTGCAAACAGACGGCTTCCTGCGGGACTTTGTGCTACTGCTATTTTTACCAGTCGATCATGGTCGGTTAAAATTAATTAACATTGGTTGGTTGGACTGCAGACGCAATTACTACATCCGAAACAGTTTGATCCAGAGACTATTTTGACGTTTTTCGCAATGAAAACGGTTCGTTTTTAACCCAGACCACTTCCAGAAAGGTCATTGGACCATTAGTACGGACTATACCGTGACGAACAAAAAAGAATGGGCTTTTGTAGCAGTACACTTATTGGATGTTTTCTTAAAGAATTAGTGTGCTCTTTGAGAATTTATTTATACTCTTGTTCTTTATTGGTATTCTATTGAATATTTTGTTGGGCATGTTTGAAAAAATTAAATTCATTTAGAATAATCGAACAGCTTATCAACGATGCCATTGCAGTTTCTTCCGACAGGTAGAGCAAAATAGGAAATAATGTGGTGATTAACAAACGCCTAACCTTTAAACCTTTTATTAAACCTGTGCCATAGATGCATTATCATCTTCTTATTATCAATGATTACACACCACCATATAAACTGTCGTGAGACAATGATTTGTTGTGGTTACCAAGCGTTTATGTAGAGTTATATACGGCTGCCAATAAAATAAAGCCACAATCTAGTCACCAAGTGACTTTAGCTAGACCTAATAAAACGATCTATTGATATTTTGCTAACTACTAATTATCTAATCCTAAATTTACTAAGCTGAGCTGTTACATCTGGATTAAATAACGGATAAAAAATATTTATTATAGGCACAGGCCCATGATTATAGGCCTTTGACACGTGTAAAAAATGGTTTATACTAAGCCTACTATTTTTTCCGTAAGTTCTTTAAAAAAATTACAATGGTGGTATTTCAATAAACCGTAAAAATATTTTTAGACCTTGAGCCAAAAACAGTACAATTTTTTTAACTGACAGACGTATCATAAATCGATACTTGTAATACCTATCATAAACCAATTTGTCGTTGTAGGCTGTTCATATTCCTATTTTGATAGTGCGACATGACGCACGAGCGGATTAATTGTATATTGTTTCAATTTCACAACTGCCACGGAGGTGTACCAGTAGCACAGAATAAATAGTAGCCAGTAGTTTGTTCTTGTTCAATAATTCATGTTGTTTTTGTTGCCTTTTGGAGGGTGACCTCTTGCTCTTTCTATCGATTCACACACACACGGACGCACGTTATTTTCGATTGAACTTTAATCGTCATTGCCGTGCTGTGGCGTTTTATTTTACATTGTAATATGATGGACGATGGCTGCCAAATGCCTTCTAGTTACTTTCTTGGTTGTGCCTTTTTACCAAATTGTTCAGGCTGTATTACACTTTACGATACTTACTGAATTAAAACAATACAAAATGCACGATATTGAAGTAGGTATATAAACTGCCAGTTTGACCCATGTACTTAACTTGCTTTAGGTTTAGGTACCTACTCGCAAAATGCGATAAATGTGTACTCAAGTGTACCTTTATTATGTCAACAATACATTATCTTTGTTCCTTAATGTTATCTTTTAGGATTCTAAATATTGATGTGTCCAGTTGTACTTTTTCCCGGGCTATAGAAATATTTTGTTGTTACAAAATATGAGGATATAAAACGTTTGATAAACTAGGCTTGATAGTAGGTACCTATGGTTTCGATCGATTAGTATGGCTTTGGTGGATTGGTCACACTAATCGCATGGTAGTATTTTTGATTCAAATTCCAGACGACATTCCAAGTGGTTCAAAACTTCAAGTACATGCGAAATGTGCCTAAGAAATTATTGTGGTGGTAGGTATACCATTGCAGGCTTGACTATTCATCTGACAGTAGGAATATAATATTTCTAATTTGTGGCTGTGTGGGTTAGGGTAAGATTTAGTTGTAGAATGTAGACTGCAAAATACTTTTCATTCAAGAAAAGCGGTCGCAAAAAATGAAACTGCAAAATAATTTATGTTAATTTCGAAATGGAGGTAGTCGACTGTCGCTTCAGCATCATCATACCGTCAATGCAGGTCGTGATTGTCATGTTTTTTTTTTGCCGTGAATGTGCAGAGTTTTTTGTACCTATGTCTGCCAACAAGGTCTCAGTCTCCCGCTTATAAGATTATGACAGCGCGCGTCACCGGTGGCGTGACCGCCGCAATGCCGCCGTTGCATGGCTTCTGCGGCGCTATATCGGGCCCTGTTCCTGCAGTCTGGCTATTCTTGAATAAATAATCTACGTAGAATCGGTCATAGGCTTGGAATCCTGGCAAACGATATCTGACTTACATTATTCAATACATTACCACAAATAATATAATAAGACACACCCTGCGGACTGTCGTCGACGGGCTTTTAGTCGTCCGATAGTTTGGTCGGGCTGTTAGTATAAACAGCCTAGGTATGGAAGTGCGGACACTACACCGATTTGGTATCAGATTCCATACNTTTCTTATACAAATTAGAAGCCGACCATACTAACTACCGACTAAAAAAGTCTATAGTCTGCGGGGTATTTAATAGGTCATAGCTTAGAAATCCTGGCAGACGATGTTTGCAAGGCTTACATTATATGTATATTACCGTGAATCGGAAGAAAATATCTCAAAAGGATTGAGGATACTGTTGACCTGGAAACAGCACACTGAATTTATGATGATTTATGTTTAACAAAAACGTTTTCACGAATAAGTGTCGCCTGATGGATGACTAGCAAATTTTTTTGGACACGTTTGAAAATACAAAAGGATACATACGATGTCTATTCTTGGAAGGTACCTAGGTACCTTTAAAGTTTTAAACCTTCTTGTTGAACTTTTGAATATTTTTTCTTGGTAACAGAACGTGCTGTTTCCTATTTAAATATGTCTTTTGCCTCAATCAAGCATGAGCAGTTCCCTGGTTAAAATTTATGACATTTGTCATCGCTCGCAAACCTTCTGCTTCATCCTACCCTGGTATGAATTAAAAATCGATTAGTTCTAATACTTGTCATCGACGGGTGTTCTTCGTGATATCACGTGGTACCTTTCCCTGGTTAATAATAAAATAGCGAGCTTTGATGGGAAAGCTATAAAACATGGACAGATGGCAAGTGTTTCAAGGGCAGCCTACCATGAAATTATCCACTCTATGAAATATCAATTAGATAGCTCTAGAAGTCTAGAACAAACGCGTGATAATAGCCGACTAGACTTGCCTACTTACATAGTGAGTGATGTCAAGTGATACTTAATTTGCATGAGATGGTAACAGACGCGCTACACAAGTAGTGATTTGTCTAGTGGATATAATGTATAATATAAGATAATTTTGATGAGAACCGTAGGCAACACGAGAAACACAAACTAGCTCTAACTTTATACAGCCTTGAAAGTTTGCGCGAAATAATTGTAGGTAACTTGAATTATCCAATTCGGTTAATTAGATTCGAGAACACTGGCTTACTTACCTATCTTTTTTTTTATTTTATTTTTATCCACAACGAGGAAGCTCTTAGCCTGAATCTCACCTGATGGTAAGTGAAGTTCAGGCCGAAGGTCGAAGCGAGCTTCACCCGGAATCCTCAACCATCTACTACTAAACAAAACAATCACATGCTAATAATGAGGTTTTTCCAATCTTGCGATGAGGAATGGTCATTGATTTTTTGTTAGGTTTGACGAGAACTCGCAAAAGTTCTCATAAAAAGGTGGTTGAACAACAGAACTCTAAATGAGCATGCTTATTTTGACAATGTTTCGACACACGTGCTACTAATTGTAAGCAGGAATTACCAAATAGTGGCATGCTTTCGTGCTTGTACATATAATGAGCTGATGAGCATGTGCATCAGTATACCTTTAAACTTTTCGAGCTTTAAAATTTAAGCAAGTGAATGTGTTTTCAGGTTCCTTTGGCGATATGCGAACGGCATGGTCAGGTCGAAAAGCTGGGGCCGGCATGACGCTACCGTGGCACAGCTCTTCACGAAACGCGCGCTCAAAACCCCTGACGCGCCGTGCTTCATCGTTGTTGGAGACAGGACCTGGACCTTCAAAGAGGTGAGATCTTAGGACGCCTTTAACTAGATCAAATTTTTAGAAGCGCAACAGCCGCACGTCTTTGTCACTGTGTCGCTTTAGTAGTGGCGCTGCAACTGCTCTTCTAAAAAACTGTATGAAAGCATAGTGCGTGCCAGAGCGCTGCTTTGAAGGTGCATTTATTCTTATTCCAAACAAAATACCTAGGCTTGGTTATTTAATTTTTAGCGTTAAGAGTCGCATCTCAAACTAATTTGAAAATTATAAATAACTTGAAAAAATCGAACTGCCTAAGGCGGGAATTGAACCCACGACCTTCCGCTTGCCGGGCGACTGCTCTTCCAACTGAGCTACTTAGACACTGGATGAACCCGTCGAAAGCGTCGGCAAGCGGAAGGTCGTGGGTTAATTCCCGCCTTAGGCAGTTCGATTTTTTCAAGTTATTTATAATTTTCAAAATAGGCTTGGGTTTAAACCGATCTCAGTTCTCATTTGTGAATTTCGATGCGTCGGCAAGAGGCTTTTGTAATGCAAAGTACCTGTTCTCTGAACATGCGCCCAACATCCACCATGCGTCGTAGTAATTTTGTATCACTTATTTAGTTCGTTATTAACTCAAAAATATTTATTTTAATCATGCCCTCAAGCCTTTAAAAAGCCGCACTAAAAGAGACCTAATATAAGAAAATAATTTTAGAGATAAAAGGAGCAATTATTATCTTCCAACGCAACAGATAAAACAGTGACAGGCCTAGCAATGTAATTATGTGGCTGATATTCATATCTCATATCAGTAAGAATATTAAGTGTCAAAGTTTACCCTAATAAAATGTACCTACTGGTAATGCTGCCTAAAAAACAGAGATAAGAAAATACATAAACATACTAGGTTAAATTATTAAAAAAAAATGCCCTCCTTTATTACTTTGTTATTATTTAATTAGTTACTAATTTAGTCAAAACAAACTTTTATGTCTAGACATTGTTTACTTACATCTAGGAACAATAACGTTGGTTGTTTTTCTATCGAAACTCATTAGTGCCGACAAAAAAGTTGTAAATAATAATAAACTTCATTCCGAACTGTGACATTACAACTAAGTATGTGAAGGTAAAAAAACTTGTTCATGATGTAATGTCTTGAAATGTTCTCCGAACAGTCCAAGGGCCATCGACCCTAAATCTGCGTCATCGATGCTTGCATAATCGAATCTCAAATACTTGGGACCGACGTGATCGAATTTTAAATCGATTATTTTTAACGGTGTATTCGCATAGTAATGTTTCCTTCCGATGTTAAAAAAATGCTTTGTAGAATTATGCTGTTCTGTTGACTATTTTTTAAATAAGTATTTTAGTTTTTTTTTATTCTACCTTTTCTTTTTCGTAACAAAAGAATAATTATCCAATGTGTCGAAATCTACATTATTTTTTTTTAAATTATACGACCCATTCTACATTTTCTTTACATGTAAGAAAAAGTTAAAAGTATAATTGGTTAACATTTAACCTACATCCGTTGAAACGTGTAAAAATGCTTCGTAGTAAAATAAGTGTATGTTTTATATCACCAGTGCCAGTTAATTGATCTAAAATAGATTGATTGAAGTTTGCACAACAATCGTTTACTTTAGAATTGATGCCGCTATCAAAGGATTTACGTCTTTAAAGTCTCGAAATAGATTCAACGGAGATTGTTGCATAATTTGCCTATTATCTTTAATGTTTAGAGTGGTTATCAAGATCGTTTGCTGATCTTTCAGAACAGATTATTTTTATATATTATGTAGAGTCAAGCCACATAGGTATTTTCAGGAAGATGTATTTTCATTATAATTATGTTGCAGCATTGACGATTAATAAATTGTTAACATGACAGGTACCTACTTATAATTTTTCAATTAATACTGCAGTCTGGCCTGGCCTTCATGTACAAGACTACAATGTTTGTAGGTTCGATTTCCGTTGGGACCATATACGAGCATAATTATGTTCAGAGTTGTAATAAGAAAGGAAGTGTAACCGACGATAAATTTGTTTCAGATGGCCGCCAAGTCGAACCAAGTGTCGCGCGTGATGCAAGAGCACCTAGACCTGAAACGCGGTGACGTGGTGTGCGTGTTCATGCCCAACTGTGCGGAGTATGTCTGGACTTGGCTGGGCATGGCCAAGGTGGGCGCCGTGTCCGCGCTCATCAACAGCAATCTCAGGCACAAGCCACTGCTGCATTGCATACAAGTCGCTAAAGCGAAGGCGATTATATTCTCAGACCAGCTGGCTAGTGGTGAGTTATCTCTTAATCATAAAGAATGATAAGCTTTTAATGCGCCATTTTATCGATATGCCCAATGCCTATAGATACAGTTTGTCGCCTAAAATCGTCGATAAGATTTTGTCACGGCGCGCATGCTCGCCCGGCAGGTCTAGCTAAACACGATAACAATGTGACTTGTTTATCTATGACTATTGACTAACCTCGTAATCAATCTCTCTTCCAATGTGATGGCCACCCAAATAAGATTATTAACTCTTCAATTTCCCAACAGCCGTGGAAGAGGTCCGCGGTCAGCTGCCTTCGGATCTGAAACTGTTCCAACTGTACGGGCAGTGCGCCCCAGGGGTGGTTGACCTGACCGCCGAGATGGAGAAGCACCCTCCTGAATACCCCATCGTCACGGAGCAACTCCACTACAAAGATACGCTGTTGTATATTTACACTTCGGGCACCACGGGCATGCCTAAAGCTGCGGTACTGCCGAACTCCAAGTGAGTGACTGTTTTCAACACCCTTGATATAAAATATGTGGATCCTTAATTTTGTAATACAAAGGTATACCTACGAGACTAAGAAATTAAAGGTATTCTTCTCAATTTACAGACTCAGATAACTCTGGAACTTGTCAATAAAACAGTGTGTTCTAATTTTCTGATTCAAACAGGACACGCCGTTGATAGAAATACTACTCATCAAATTAGGTGTTTTCTACTGTAATGCCACCGATTCTGAAATATGAGAGGGAATTGGAGAATAGAGATGTCCTCATTTTATTCCTAGTCGCTGTAAAGATCTCGACATTTTTTAATGTGCATATCAAAAACTGCAGTAATTTACAAGTTAGTGACTCGTCCTTTATAAAAATTCAGTGACCAAAATGTATTTCATTTCATCCAGGTACCTGCTAATCGTGTGCGCAACTGTACACATGCTGGGTTTGAAATCTCGCGATCGTATCTACAACACGCTGCCGCTCTACCACACGGCTGGTGGTCTAGTGGGCACGGGCGCGGCGCTCATCGACGGCATACCAACCGTCGTGCGCCCGCGCTTCTCCGCGTCCAACTACTGGACCGACTGCATCAAGTACGAGTGCACGGTACGTGCCATTACACTAATGTATGAGCGTAATTAGGTTCTTGTACAGGAGGGGTCATTCTGGTCTAGAAAGGGAGGAAGTCAGGCTCTTAGACACTAAAGAAAGAGACACAAGGTAGATACGTAGGGATCGGCTCTACAACACGCTGCCGCTCTACCACACGGCTGGTGGACTCGTGGGCACGGGCGCGGCGCTCATCGACGGCATACCAACCATCGTGCGCCCGCGCTTCTCCGCGTCCAACTACTGGACCGACTGCATCAAGTACGAGTGCACGGTACGTGATATAAATCTGGCCTTCACTGGTTGGGTTTGTTATTAGCGACTAAGCTGTAGAACTTGGCTTCATGGAAGTTTCAGCGGTGGGAATGACAATATAGGAACACGGCCCATGAAATAATAATCATTTTAAACAACAAACAAACAGTCATGTGGTTCCGGCAAGGTAGAATAGTATCATCTCCACTCATCCTTGGATATCATAAGCGGTCCCCTGAGAGAAATATGTGAATATCAACAAAAATAATATGTTCTTCCCAACCCGCCTGGTTGGCGTGGGAAGTGTAGACCAAATCCTCCATTTGCCACTGGTAAATTAGAGACCGTCGTGCATTGGAGAATAAATGACCTAATGAAAACGATGATGTCCAGCAGTTGTCTTCTAGATGCTGATGATAATGACGATGAAATGATGATAAACCTGTTTGTCCCCCAGGTGGCTCAGTACATCGGCGAGATGTGCCGCTACCTGCTGGCGCAACCGGCGCGCGACACGGACGCACAGCACCGCGTGCGCATCATGGTCGGCAACGGCATGCGTCCCGCCATCTGGCAGCAGATCGTTGACAGGTAACACCTTCATTCTTTCGATCGATCATGGGAAAAGCTCATACTCAATGGAAACAGAAGGCAAGCCCGAGTGATCACGGGTGCGCTAAGACACTACACTACAAACCACATGCTCAAATGGGCCTAACTACGGATGACAGCTGTCGAGCATGTGGAGAACATGCGGAGTCCATGAAACAACTACTGTGCGAATGCGACGCGCTAGCTAGAACTACAATGGGTCTCCTGGGGTCGGCTTATCCGACACCAGAAGAATATAGGTCCTTCTCACCCAAGAACTTGATTCACTATATGGATAGGATCTTTGCAGATGAGGGGGGATAAAGGTATAGGGAAGCACAAAAGATCCCAATGGGTCGACGTGCACTGTGCCCATAAGCGGCCCTAAATAAGATAAGATTCATTATTTCATTCATTTGGCGGACAAAAGCGTCTGGATGCGCTTGCTAGCGCTGAGAAACGAAACTGTTGTCGGTGAGGATACGTTTGCTAACTTCAATAGTGACGTGTTTCATTCATTTACAAGCGCTTCCAAGCGCTTTTTTCCGCCAAACGCAGCCATTCATTCAGAATTTTCGATCACACTGCATATCGCTGGCATATCAGTTCTCACTGGTTAGATCCACCCCAGACCAGCAGGTGTTTAGTCTGTCTTTGTTAGTAAATATAATAATAAAACATTGTTTATTCTAGGTTCAAAGTACCGCAGATAAACGAAATCTACGGAGCGACGGAGGGCAACGCCAATATAAGTGAGTAAATAACTTGAGTACATTTAGGACAGTAAGTCATCACAATAACAATAACACAATCAATAACATTTATCATTTTCTCTCCCGATAATTCGTGGACTTTGTCTAACGTTGTTTACGTTGACTTTAAAATGAAACTTTAACCTTGTTTTTTTACAACGGATATCTTTCAGATAGTAAGGCAACGACCTCATTTGTTTTTGCATTTTTCTTTTACAATTTTATGATAATTTATCTAATTGCGCAGCTTTTGGAACAAAAATAGCAATTACGTATAATATAATAAATGGTCTGGTCCTCATAAGATTACCTAAATACGAATATTTAATACGTAAGCTTCATTAAATTTAAATACATACGAGTGAAGGATATTTGGTAAATTAATCAAACTGAACTCTCAAAACATAAAATTATCCTCTACTAATCTATGTCCTTCACACTGATTTATGAGACACAATGGTAAATAAATACACATAAGTACCTACAGCATACCTTATTACTGCAATATTTTGATTTTGCATCATCGGAAAGACACCGATGCATTGATAGTGAAGCCAATAAAAAGTAGTCATAATATGGAGTCAGTTGCGTGTGTTGACGAACCACTTTCTACACAGTTGTTGTTGGACCGGGTAGAAACCAGTTTGTCAACATAGGCCCTTAGGACACAGCAACTTTAAAAGCTAATACTATACTAAGTCGCCTTTTTTGTGTTTGTATAAATAAAGATTTTAAATACCTTTTTTTAAAGCAAATTAAATATATAAATATCCTTGGACATTTTACACTGCGCCCTCTAGTCCCAAACTAAGCAAAGCGTGTATTATGGGTACTAGACAACGGATATAAACATACTTAAATACTTTTTTTTGTACATAAATATTATACATAGTAACACCCAGACCCGTCACAGAAATTAAAATTCATCATTTCAATTTCTGCCCGGCCGGGAATCGAACCCGGGACCTCTCGGCTTAGCAGTCCGTTCTGAACCACTATACCAAACGACCGACAAATTAAATACCGAAAGGCGGGTCCAGACATGTATCATTTGCCCGATCCGATCACCGTATCCGTATCGTCGACGCGAATCATGATCGCATATGTGGACGGGTAAACGGGTACCTGGTCTACTCATTACCCGATACGGTGATCGGATCGGGCAAATGATGTCTGGACCCGCCTTAATATTCCTTTATCATGTACCAGTAAACGTGGACAACACGCTGGGCGCGGTGGGCTTCCTGCCGAAGCTGGTGCCGACGTGCCTGCACCCCATCGCGCTGGTGAAGGCAGATGAACACGGCGGCCTGCTGCGAGGGCCTGACGGGCTCTGCATCCGCTGCCTGCCCAGTGAGTACCGTCCAGTTTTCAACAGTCTAAAAGGTTCTCTCCATACAGCACAGGCTTGTTGAAGTGCATGCCCTGTGAGTAGTCTATGTCCTGTTTCTAGCAATCTGTAAGGTTTCACCATACTTACGGTATGGTATAACCCATTGGGTGTAAACATAAGTAACACAAACAAAAAGAAAAACTTTATTGACACAAATAACAATAACCGTGTCATTTGACACGGCTATTTAACCGCTCACTTACCTCATACACGCATAAGCGAGTCAGGTCCTCCACTTGTACCCATTGCAGGTATTGCACATCTTTTAAGGAGATCCTTCGAAACTACCTTCAATTACAAACTTCTCCATAATGTTATTCTTTACACAGTAACAGTAGCCGTTAATAATATCTATTTTTTTAAATTTCAGATGAGCCGGGGATGTTCATCGGTCTCATTGCGCAAGGCAACGCTTCCAGGGAGTACCACGGATACGTCGACAAGGTAACTCTCAATAAACCACGACAGCAAAATTGCTGTTACGCATATTTTTAGCAATAGGTATTATTATTAATCCTGAGTTACTTAAATGACACAAGCTCAGCTTAGTGCAGCAGCCGCTAGATAAGCAGACTGTATACCCTTTATGGCAAATAAATACTTTTTACTTTTTTTATTATGCGTGACAATTTCGTATAACTTTTTTTGTCCTACTTATCACATTATGTAAGTTAAACAGCATATTCAATTTTCAACTAAACGTTCCAGACCGACAGCAACAAGAAGCTAGTCCGCGACGTGTTCCAAAAAGGCGACGCCGCCTTCGTGAGCGGCGACATCTTGGTAGCCGACGAGCTGGGCTACCTGTTCTTCCGCGACCGCACGGGCGACACCTACCGCTGGAAGGGGGAAAACGTCGCCACGGCTGAAGTGGAAGACGCCATGGACCCTGTTCTGGGCCAGAAGGCGTGCGTCGTCTATGGCGTTTCTGTAAGTATTGCCTCTTTATTACTTGTGAGACCATCGCCACGATAGAAGGGCGACATCTAAGTAGCTGATGAGCTTGGCTACCTGTTCTTCCGCGACCGCACGGGCGACACCAACCGCTGGAAGGGGGAAAACGTCGCCACGGCTGAAGTGGAAGACGCTATGGACCCTGTTTTGGGGCAGAAGGCGTGCGTCGTCTATGGCGTGTCTGTGAGTATACTTCTTTGTTTCAAAAGATTGATCAATCTATCTATATTTTGCATTAGCAACGCTATTCAAATATAGATGACCCACGCTGAACTGTCCCACCAAACTCAATGACAGGGGGGCGCTACCATCGTTCAACTATATTATGGTTTCCAACATGGCAAAAACGGAACCAGCGATCCGGTATTGACGGTGGCGCCCCGCTGTCAATGTCATGGATAGGACAGTTCAGTATTTTGGAACTACTTATATCTCACTCCGGATTGACGTCTGTCATTTTTAAGATGATGGCTATAAGCCCAAATTCATATGCTGAATGAATGGGTCAATTAGCATATTACATAACTTGAAATGTGAAGGCCATGTTATATGCATTGATCCTGAAATCTAATTTTAATGTCAGAATACCTTATGGGGGTACCGAGCGAGAGGTGCAGGGGAGGGCAGCTTCGTAGGGCACACGAGGGACATTATCTAGAAACATGTAACCTCCTTTGGGTCAGAATGCCCATTGCTATGTAAACCGTAGCTGTCAATTGATTTGATTCATATATCTCATGTAATAAAGCACATTTTACCTCACCTTCCAGATCCCTCAAACAGAAGGCCGCGCTGGCATGGCGGCCATCGCAGATGCCTCTCGCTCGCTCTCACTGCAACAACTGGCCCGTGATCTCGACGACTCGCTGCCGTCTTACGCGCGCCCGCTGTTCTTGAGACTCGTCAAGGACATCGAGATCACCAGTGAGTATAAAATAGCACTTATTACAAAGGCCATAAGTGTATTATTGCGGACGAGTCTCGCTCGCTCTCGCTGCAACAACTGGCCCGTGATCTCGACGACTCGCTACCGTCATACGCGCGCCCGCTGTTCTTGAGACTCGTCAAGGACATCGAGATCACCAGTGAGTATAAAATAGCACTTATTACAAAGGCCAAAAGTGTATTATTGCGGACGAGTCTCGCTCGCTCTCGCTGCAACAACTGGCCCGTGATCTCGACGACTCGCTACCGTCATACGCGCGCCCGCTGTTCTTGAGACTCGTCAAGGACATCGAGATCACCAGTGAGTATAAAATAGCACTTATTACAAAGGCCAAAAGTGTATTATTGCGGACGAGTCTCGCTCGCTCTCGCTGCAACAACTGGCCCGTGATCTCGACGACTCGCTACCGTCATACGCGCGCCCGCTGTTCTTGAGACTCGTCAAGGACATCGAGATCACCAGTGAGTATAAAATAGCACTTATTACAAAGGCCAAAAGTGTATTATTGCGGACGAGTCTCGCTCGCTCTCGCTGCAACAACTGGCCCGTGATCTCCTAGACGACTCGCTGCCTTCATACGCTCGTCCGCTATTCCTGAGGCTCGTCAAAGACATTGAGATCACCAGTGAGTCTAAAAATAGCTCTTATTACAATCGGATAAGATGTCTGTGTTTACCTGTCGCTTCAAAGGCTGGTGCGTGACTTGGACGACTCAGTTTTTACTCGAACACTCTTCTTTCGACCATCATTTTACAAACAATGCAGCGACGACAACTACATACTATGGAACGTCAAAAAGTGTCTTCTCTTCCATGACTAAGGCTGACAACAAACGAACGTAATTTCCGTAGCGTATTAAACGATCAAGTTCCAACACATTTTGCGTCGTTGTGAAGTTCATACAGAACTTGTGTAGGCTCAAAAAAAAAACGCGTCATAATTACGTTCGTTTGGCCTCAGCCTGAGATGATACTTGTGCTAGTAATTTGCTGTCAGTCATAACTCTAAGCTGGTAATCTGTCTAATACATACTTCTTCCACCTTTCCAGGCACATTCAAGCTCAAGAAGCTGCACTACCAGAAGGAAGGCTTCGACCCCGACGTCATCAAGGACCCGCTGTTCTTCCGCTCCGGAAACGACTTCGTGCCCGTGACGTCACAGCTGTTCGCCGACATCTGCGCCGGCCGCGTCAAGCTATAAGCGACTACCAACCCTAACCGCTGGACATAAGCACCACTATGCCTATGCCAGCAGTGGCAGTGGCTTACCAATGCGAATGGAAAGGTAATGTCGTGCAGCGTAAACAGTTTTCAGCTATATAGCTATAAAAATAAAGTTGGAAATTGATTGCGCTGGATGACACCTTCAGTTGGTCAATTAGCGTAGCCGATTTTCAACTTTTTTTACTTGGCATTTGATGCTAGCATTGGAAAGCCACTCCTCGCCACTCGGCTAGGCCCGCAGGTCTGTTCTCGCTCAGGCAAGATGGCGCCACGATCAGTTTGACAGCTGTCACGCCCGATGCACCATTGTAACTGCCTGCCATAGCTCTACAGCTGCATTATCCACCTGTCCAGAAGCGACTAAACTTCGTTAATTCTTCTAGTGATACAACACATCATCGCAAACGCTTTAACTATAATTTTCTTATTCAGCTATTTACATAGCTTATTCTCTCATTCCCCATATAAATTTAAGTGAGAGAGATGCCTGTTTCCCGTCATTACGTACGCTAATTCACCAATTACTATTTAATGACTAGGGTTTATGAAATGTCAGGTCAGGTGAAGCCACAAAGGAGATCTGTGGACAGTGTGGTCGTAGACCGGTGAACTGATTGCAATACACGGTACGTATTGTACATCACGAGCCCTGGCGAGTGCATATTAATTAATAATATAATTATTATAGTCATTTATCTTATAATGGGTGTTTCGAAACCGAAATCGAGGGATTCACATATTAGATAATGGTTCAAAATGATCGAGTTGTGATATAATGTACAAAGTTACCAAAAGTTAAGTGATAACTTGCGAACGAAACGTGATAACAATTATTACGTAACAGTAACAATTTCTGTACGAATTCCTTATATCAATTTTGTTTATTGAACACCAATAATAATTTTACCAAATATTTTTTTAACTTTACCAAAAGACTAATAAATTACACTTAAAATGTGCTGGTTTGAATTTAAAAGTCAATCGAGTAATGTTTTGTGTGGTTTATGTTAGTAAATAAGTGCAAGTGGGGATAGTGAACGGATTTTTAAGAAAGAACAAATTGTTAAAACCTATTATATTTATCTGATGTTTTAACCCTTGAGGATAAACCAGGTTGATTTTTTATTGATTTTCGACCGTACACAGTAAGGTTTTGATAATGGTGGCCACTATATTGCCACTGCCTTAACGGGTTAGTAAAATGTTTCCAAAATAACGACCATAATTTGTATGCTGTGACATAATATAGAAATGATAACCGTATAATGTGTAGATAAAATTATTGTAGATAGAACATTCCACCATCTAGTCTAATAAGATGTTTTGTTTTGACTTACGCACTTTACTAGATGAAATTTTGAGTTCCTAATTGAATTATATTGCAGGACAACGTCAAGTTTCGGGCACTTAGTAATTAGGGATCCTCATAGCAGTTATTTGTACTGGTTTAGAATTTAATGTAATTTATTCGCATTTTATCGCAATAATTGAGATATTACAGTAAACAAGTATGGATTTTCCATTAGAGTTGTGCCTTGTGACGATGGCCGTTGCACTGTAGTGTGAGTACTTAGTACGCCGTTCAAAACTCCTCCTGAAATTGTAAGTTGTAAATAAATACATAAATATATACACAGATTTTTATTGTTTCCAAATTCCCTTCTCTTTCCTAGGTATATCCTATTGCAAGCCTAGGTGGACGACACAACACAAATTTTAACACTTACAGCAGTTATTCTTAAACCATATATCGATTCACATCACATCACCTTGTATCATCATAATCACATTGCATAATCATAATAACTAAGTATAAAACATCTTCGTCTTCAGGAAATACCTACTTTGTTCTTTTGCACAAACGGATTTGTAAAATAACGCTGTCTTTATTTGAATGATTTTACTATTTAATGTGACGTCAATTGATGTTTAATTCACAGTANAGTGAACCACTGGTCTACTTACATTGCTAGAGGGGATTGCCTGTCAGTTCCACTCCTGTTATTTCTGCTCTCTTTATAACTATACAGTATTCCAACTCGGCCATATTCTTGAAATAAATGTCAACAGCCCCGCGGTACGTCACGGTATGACAACATGCGATAGGGCTGCTCACCTACAGTACCCATTCTAATTACATCTGTCTACTTAGAATTTCTATCTAGTTTTGTGATTGTATTTTTTTTTTATTTAGTTGTTTTGTGATTATTAGATTTAATAAAATAAAAAATAGGTAATAAAATAATTTTGAATCTACTAATCATAATGAGTAGGTACTTAATGACCTGGTACTTTAATTTCAGGCGGGCGAAGTCGTGGGCCAAAGCTGTATAAATACAATATAATTTTCATTTCAAATCAAACTAGCTTGTATGTAAAATCATCAAACTTCTAATGCTCGTAACTCAGTTCAGACTGAGTTTAGAGGTATATATGTCATAGTAAGTTTGGTTTATTACACTATTTTGTAATAAAAAAATAAGGTTTGGTCGATGGCCGCGCGAAAAAAAAGACGCCACCTTCCATACAAAATCTGAATCAAGACGGTCAGTCAAATTCAATCACCTTAGTCATTTTCAACACTAGGCCATCGACGTCCGGTCGGCACATTCGCGACACCCCTAACTTTTGGATTTCGACCACGTCCCGAGATTTGAAATTCGAAGGAAAGCTCGCGTTTCGTCGGTTTATATGAAGTTACAATACTGTATGATATTATTACCGTGATAACGCTGTCTTTATCTGAAAGATTTTACTAATGTGACGTCAATTGATGTTTAATTCACAGTAACTACTTTTGATATTTATGCGCGCCTGGTACTTCAAAATTTTATATGAAGGTACTCCTCGTTTAAGAGCGATATTTCTATCAAATTAAATGCACAACTACCTCCTTGTATATTATGGGCTCCTGGTACCTTTGAAGATGTTTCTATCAAAGTAAATGCGCAACGACCTCCTTGTGTATTATGTATGCGCCCCTGGTACTTTACAATTATTTTAAGTCTAAAGGCACTCCTCGTTTTAGAACAATAAATATTTTCTATCAAATAAAATGCACAACTACCGCCTTGTATATTATGCGCTCCTGGTAGATTTCAAATACAAAGATGACGATTTTTTGGTTGGGTATTTTGGTTAAAATAAAATAAAAATTATGTTCCAAATAAAATGTATTCTTGTCAAATTAGCATTTAATAAAAATAAAGTGATCCAACTACATAATGAAACTTTTAAAATAATAATTTAAGGGGAATGTACACAAACATAAATAAACTCTATTACAGCTTACAAAATAAATCAACGTAATAAACAATTCATATCATAACTTTTCTCATCGTAAAGCAATATATTAATTTTATCGAACATACTAAGACTAGATTCATATACAAGTATCGACAGATCTCTGCGTAAACATTATCAAATACTATCTACAAATATTACAAACCGTGCTGCGCTGCATACATATTCTAGAATTAATATTATTGCTGCAACTGCTTGATTACCGCAAACCAACAATGTACACTGGCCCTAAATGAAGTGAACAAATGAAAGAGGTTGCTCATCCTAAATTTTAAAAAGTTCCATCCGATCGACATGAAATAAAATAATACAATTTAATATAAAACATCCAATCATGGTCAAAAATAATTGATTGATTAGAATATGTTTCATAATATATTAACATTAAACGAAATTAACATGTATTATCATTCCATTCAGGACCCAAGTGCATTACTACATAAACTGTCTTTTTATCTTTAGGCATAATTATTTTGAAAATGCGACGGGTCATTAATATAAATAAGACTATGTACAGATCGTCGAAATAGTTACAACATTATTATATGTACTTAGTTACCTACTTATTTCTTAGTCAGTAGCATATTTGCAGCTTAAGTGGAGTACCATAGGGCAGTGTTTTTTCACCTCTATCCTTCACAACAGAAAAAGCATTAAAAATCAAATCCTTCCATGTTACAACAATAATTTCATATTTAAACAAAAAATAAATAAACGTAAGACTTTCAGTTTTCAAAGAAATATACGATTATTAAGAAAAACAAAGGAAAAATAATAAAAATTCGAAATTTATAACGACCACACGCCAAAATGACTAGCAACTATTAAGGCAACTTCCATAAATCTTCCAATACATAGGTAATTATGGTTACAATAACAATGATTTAAATCTATAACTAACTATACCTAAAGCTCACTAAACAACTTTACTTATCTTAATTATTCGCAAATTAATTTAGTTCATGATTTTGAGTTGTTTTTCACAATACATGATGAATATGCTGCCGCCAGTATAAATACCATGGATGGTTAGTGTGATAAGTTAATTATTACATAATAAATAAATATTGAGGAATACATAAAAAAATCTGGCAGCAAGGTCAAGGGAGAACGTGAATAAACAAACTATGGACATTAAAATATGATACATAAATAGATACAACTACGAAATAAATCATAGTCAGTGAAAATTTAACCAATTTCTTACAAATAAAGTTGTTTCTAGCAATTTGTTACACGATGTGGCATCACTTAACGCACGGTGCCCATATAATACTCTGTAATAATACTTTAAAAAACTGTATGTCACTTAATATCAGGAACACTCACTTTAACATGTTACCTAATGTCTTTCGCCAAATATTTCAATACTATCTATTACTCGTCGTATTTTCTACTTTACACAAATTACATACATACAAATTGTTCTTTAAAGCGCTTTACATTTAAGCCGCCGAACCGCCGAAAACCGGCGGTGTGGATCAGCTGAGATTTGGAGAATGTAATGTGAACTGGATTGCAACGGTTTCTATCATTAGCATAATATGGACATTGACAAATCTATAATTAATTGAATCTGCTTAAGTGATTTCAAAGGAAACGAACACACAACAATACAAAATGTGAGTATGGAATTCGCTGGATATACTGCACCAAGGATTCCTGCTTCCTTATCCACCTCAAATTAAATCTATAGAAGCACCCGTAACAAACTAAGTAAGCTTTTGTTACTACTTCAACAACATTTTAACCTGTATCGGAAACTATTATTGTTATCACTAACTTCGAAATATGGTCAACGAATCGCCATCTTAGGGACCACGGATCAAGATTTACAATACGCGTCGAATAAAATTATATTCTATTAAAGCGCTTCCGAGACGTGGCATAAATCACAAATAAATGTTAGGGCTTTTATCTATCACTTACTTCGCTACAACGAATTCGTTTGACGTTTCAACGATAACGATTTGAGATTTACAAGACGGCGCACGCTTCAAACCAAGATATAGTCTATTAAAGCGCATTTCGGGGCGTGGCACTAAAAAACTGGTGTTCTGAGTAAATGTAGGGCTTTAGTCTTTACCCACTGGTCCTAGGGTCCAAATTAGAAGTAACGCATCAGGTGTTTCTGGAGGGCAGCCAGGCAGCTAATCCAGAGCGGGGTGGTAACGCAGCGCGTAGTAAAGCTTCTTCGTGCGCCGATAGACGCAGTAGAACTGACAGCGCTCGAGTTAGTTGCCGCGCTTCCAACTCACGCGCAGTTAGGAAGCGGAGGACCACGTGTTTTAGGTATCTGAAAAATGAAATTTGAAGCATTAATGATTGAACTTTATTATTCCTCAAACAATGCAATAGACTAGTTTCATAAAAAAAACTTTGTCCGTCAATGACGTCACAAAGTGCTATAATTTTAAGCACGACGTCACGGGCCTCTTCCTTTGAACTTTGGCACGCTTTATCTCTTTAAATTTTCATTATTTTGAAAAAGTTAAAATTACGTGTCGAGTATTTTTTGATAAATTAACCGACGGACTAATTCAAACTCTTGCTTTTTTTTAGCCAGCAAACATCCCTATTATCAAATCTCGGAATAGGTAGGGACCTATACTGTCACAACTTCAGATAATGTATACCGTTACAGCTCTGTTACATCACATGATATCACTGCCGCACCGGTACTACAGGACACATTACGAGTATAACTATTGACAAGTGATTAACTGAGCATGATCATTTGAAACAAGAGCACAGACCAACACTATAATTACACTGAAACCATCGCGCAAGGTTACAAGACTAAATAAAAATAGCACCCACTCACAGTAGAGTAATATAGCAAAAATGTATAAATTCGTCAGACTTACCGTCTACTAATGTCCTGCTCCTCGGCGGTGGTGAGATCTGACTTGCTGCTCTGCAGCTCGCGCTGCAGTGTCTTCTTCATGTCTGCTATCCGATTGTCTAGGGTTTTTATTTTCTGGAACATAATACAGGATTGTTTAGAATTAAAACTTTGAGTTATTAAATATTTTTTATACTTCATTGAACGAAATGTTACAATGGTGCAACTAAATGCAATATGTTGATAAAAAAATGCATGAAAAATGATAAAGGTACATGGTAATGAAACAGTAAGTAACACTAAATTTCATTTAAAATATCAGTTTTTATAAATGACAAATAATTTATGCAATATTACGCAATTAAAAGAAGGGAATAGAAAAATGTTACCTTATTTTTATCACAGATTTCAGTTTCTAAGTCTTGTATAGTCTTTTTAAGTGTACTTTCGCTCTCCGCCATTTCGTTCATTCTTCTTTTCAATTCTTCTATCTCTGACTTTCGCGATTCTTCGTTTTCTTTTATTAACATACATGCCGCTTGATTCTGTAAATAGGAAAAATGATATATTAGACAATAGACACCCATATAAACGTTTTAGCCGATGATGACAAAGACAATTTCATAAAATAAATACTAAAAGGTATATTCCGTATATTAAATATAATATAAATTGTATAAAGATGTTTGGCATAGTAAATCACCAGTATTAAAATTTTAATCATTACTGATTAACTGACGAAAGAGTAGAATCAGTAAAAATATTTTCAAATCCCTCCCCTAGCTCGGATATTCCTTGCGTGTTCGACTCAGAAATGAGGGGCTGAAACGAACGAAGGAATCCATTGGCATAGATGATAGAATGGACAACCTGAAAAAATTTTAAATAAGGTACCTCTTTATGCTGTGCTATGAGCGTCTCGAGCTCTACGACTTTTGCCTTGAGGTCGGTGATCTCAGTCTCCTGGTAGCGCACGTTGCACTGGCTCATTTCTATGCTCTGCGACATGTGCGCGTTCCGTAGTAACGCCTCGTCTTTCTCGCGTTTCTCTCTGAAAATCAGGTTGTCATAACTGAATATTTTGCAATTTTATAAGACGACGGTGTTAGAAACAAAAGTATTAGTAAATATCCTATATCGCGCATTCTAATTGATTTATACATATAGAAATTGTCTTTACTAAATTCTTTAAATGTTTATTCGTGTGCACTCACATGGCTATGGAAATACAAAGGTCAGTTGTTCTGTCACACACTAGACGTGTTATTTTCATCAGAAGCAAACAAGTTTTCGTTAAGGAGAGATAGGCTATAAATATCGCAAAAAAGCTTTTAGACATTTTCTTATGCCTAAATACGTTAAAAAATAAAAAACTAACACTGCACGATAAAACATTCTAGACGTGACAACATTGTGAACATTGGTGTTTCATGAATTGTGTTATACCTACTTTAGAATGTAAACTTCATAATATTTGATCAAACTATCAGATCTGCAAATATTAGCTTAGAGACAATCGTTTTGCTGCTGCAGAGTTCGTAAGTATGCAGTAAGGAAACAAAGAATTTTGCGGATACATCAAGTTTATATTATTGGTACCGTTTGAAAGAGCTCCTGAAGCACTTTCAGGATCAGTAAACAATTTATCGTTTCAACCCTGTATTAGTCACAACAAAATTATTCTGACCGTACCTAATGAAAAAAATACCCCCTGATAAGACACTTGACCAGAAAAGTATGACCATCACTAATTACTAAAAATATGTTCCAAAATATTCAAAATTCACTCACTTATCGTAGTTCTTCTGCATGCGGTCGCAGTCGTGCTGCATATCAGCTATCATCGCGCTGAGCCGACACGCCTCGGCCTGATGCTCATCGTTCCTCCGGTGAGCTTTCTCCACCTTCTCACGCAGGATCTTCACCAGAGTCCGCTCGTTCTCCAAAGCCGATGACAGCTCCAAATTCTCCGCGGTCAGCGCTTCTATCCGGCTCTCTAGTTCCATCGTCTTTTCCTGGAATCACGCCACATCTAACTTGGTACAGTGAACTAACTTAGAACTACATAAATGACACAATGTTTGGCTTGATGTGCAATTGTCTGTAATTTTAGAATACCTTCACTTGTTTTAATATTTTCTAACTTGATACTTCTAATGTAACTTGACTTGTTATAAATTATTTTACAGTTGAATAATGTTTAACATTACTTTTCCGATCGGAGAGCGAATTAAATCTGAAGTAAAATAACAAAAGAATCGAGGTCAACATGCAGAGCGCCTTTCATTTTTACATGGCACGTGGCTGACCGACACAAAATTTAAGAATGTTGGTTATCTATGTAAATTATGCAATATTATGGTCGTTATATCAATAAACGAGATTATCTTTCATCTTTAAATATCAATTATAAATAATCAGCTCGCGAACTTCTCAAATCTTTATACGATTGTAAAATCTTAAAATACTCAGAGTAGATATTTTGTTACTATGCAGATATCTTTTCACTTGAAAGTAGTTCGAATTCAAAAAGGAACTTATTAAGCAGTTGTTGCCTACACAAAAGAAGAAATAGTACTACCGACATCACAATAAATTCCTATCATTAAGAAACCAGTTTTAGTATTTTTAGTTTGAATGTATTTTTAGCCAATGAGTTAGGTATATTAATGTCGTCCATTTGCTTAATTACACATTGGTGTAATTAAGCAAATGTAAACTAGGTATGTATATACAGGGTGTTTCTTGTAAGGTGTCAAGCCGAAGGCAGGTGATAGGTGAGGACTAGACCTATCGATTTCACCCCCATGTATGTTCTACGATTTTTCGTAGTTTAGAAGTTATCGTTAATTTTGTGATTTTTTCAAATTTCATGACCTAGTGGCTTAATTTTTTTTTAATCTTTTTTTTGGGTTGACTTTTCTCAGATTTCTTTTTTTTGACAGATTCCCTATTAGTTGCAGATATTTCAAAAAAAAAATCACCTACCTATCTTTGATGCAAGATACAAAATTTTTGCTAGAAACATAAAAAATATGCTTTTAGCAGAACATTCTAAAATTTTCAACTGAAATGTATGAGAAAAAAAAAGAATTTTTATAGGTCCAAAATAATTTTAAAAACTGCGCAGTTTTCTAAACTTTCATAATAACACAAAAAAACATGTACTTAATGGGCCATTATTTTCTGTAATCGCTCTACTAAAGTAGTAAGTCGGAGATTCCGTTACATGTTTTTGACTTTCTTAGGACTAACTAATGTTTGCAATCCACTAAGTGTACGTTACGTAGAACACGTTTAGAGACAATAACTGAACAGAATATTTTTTATCCACAACGAGGAAGCTCTTGCCCTTCATCTGACCTGATGGAAAGTTGGAAACTGCTGGATGATCAGCGAGCTTCACCCGGAATCCTAAACCACAGAGGAATTGGCTGTCCTAAATAGGTAGTCTTACCAGTAGACCACAGTGGTGATTGTTACTTTACGATAAAATTTGATATACCTACCTATTAGAGTGTGAAAGGAAAGAGAAATAGTGTGTGTGTGTGTGTGTGTGTGTGTGTGTGTGTGNCCTATGGAAACATAATATCAGTGTGTGTTTAAGTGTAATTACTGCACATATACTATGTATAAGGTGAACTTAACAATTGCAGAAACATAATAAGAATGATGTAATTGGCACATACTGCACTATTACTGTGTAGCAAATTAAGTAAGCGCGAGTATTCACGTAATATTAAGTTATTATGTGCTCTTACTGCTAACATAGTATGTGAAGAAACCTACAATCTGCTCTTTACTGCGTTTATGATAACATGTATCTTCCGTTCTAAGATAGATAGAAAAAAACGGGTCTTTGATTCTTGTAGATCGCGATGTCAGGATTCAGAATATTCAAAACAATCATAAATGCAGTAAGTGGTACTTACTGCGCTTATAAATTGTGCGGCAGATATTTTGTTACTATGCAGATATCTTTTCACTTGAAAGTAGTTCGAATTCAAAAAGGAACTTACCAAGCAGTTGTTGCCTACACAAAAGAAGAAATAGTACTACCGACATCACAATAAATTCCTATAATTAAGAAACCAGTTTTAGTATTTTTAGTTTGAATGTATTTTTAGCCAATGAGTTAGGTATATTAATGTCGTCCATTTGCTTAATTACACCAATATGTAAACTAGGTAAGTTGCCTAATCATTATGTCAATTTGTCTACAACCATGCAAAGCACAAGACCTGGGTCCATGCATACATAATTTAGAAATTGAAGTACAATAGTTTGGAGAAAACCAAGAAAGCACTTACCTTAATAAAATAGTAATAATAAATTATACTACATACATATAACTGAGAACTGAGAAAATTTACATTTTCACCACAAACGTGTGCCAATAGAGAAGTTAGTCACATTTGAATATATCAAGCAAAACAATCGTATTTAAAAACCAATAACATTGAGAGGCATTATATTGAAAACTTTACCGCACGATTGAACAACAATTTCACTTCACGAAAGAATCAAAACTCGCCTGATATATTCGCTTACAACATGCCAAAGATGCGTCATGATAACTAAACAAGCTATTAATAGAATAAGCACCAGCATGCAAACACAGGGAAAAGAATCATAAAAAAAACAATGAACTTAAAATAATTTTATTTTGCAAAAACTGCGCGTTGTAATAAAAAACAATAATAAAATAAAACAGCCAAACATTTCAGAACGTTATCGTTACTTGTACTTAGCACTTACATCATTAAAACACTCTATATTTGTAAAATAAGTAAAATTACTCACTCGGAATGTACAATTGTTACTTTATAATCACAAAGTCGCGTCAATTAAGGTGTCAACAGAGGCACACTCACACCTGTGTCGTCATGCCACTAACTGCGATATCTTTATTATTTTCGTCCGAGAATTGGCGTCACGTGACGTTCAGTATCAATTTAATCTTCGCACACCCTACCGCGATAACATAAGTACGCAGTAGACACACACATTTGACTCTTGTAAGTCTACAAATAAGATCCAATTTCGAATGTGCATGTCTACTGATGTACAGTCATACAAGCGTGCACACATCGACACCGTCAAGTAGTTTAATCAAAATAGATCCCATTGCAATATAAAGCTCAGTGCACACACTCTAAAGTCTGATATACATTGTCTGCTCAACCAAACCTGCTGCCATCATCATTTTAAATACACATTGACAGTATACATATTATAAGCTATGTGCCGTGATATTTTAAGTAACTGAGGCAAGAAGTCTTATAAAGTGCTTATGTATACTAAATCATTTGTTGAAATTTAGATCTTCAACCAGAAACGTATAAAAATATTTATTTTCTACAACTTAAAATAAGAAACAAACATAAAAATCTAATTTAAACTTTACATTCTAAACAACAAGGACTAAATAAGACAAAACTATCTATATTTGTATACAAAAAATATTCCATTCCACAAATGTTAAGCCGCATGTTAAACCACCAAATAGTACAACAAGTAACACATTAAATAATTAGATAATCAGAAAGTAGTGTACATTCGGCTTAACCGCATACAACCATCTATTGCACGAAGGAATTGACTCTCTGAGCCAGTACAATAAATACTAAAATAAAGTAAGCAATTATTGCATCCAAATCTCTAAGTAATAATAATCAATATAAATAAAAAAATATTTTCTAATTCGATTTTATATAATTTAAAGTTTAATCTAATTCCAACAAATAAAGGAACAAACCGATCTAATTAACTGCGCATCTGGCAGCCGTGACGTCACATTGTCGCTCTGATACGGACGCGGACGGGGCGAACGCGGGTAAGTAGGAGAGAAAGTCGCATTCCAGCGAGATGCGCAGTTAGCTTGATCGGGTTGTGTTAATTGTTTGCTTCGATTTGAGAAACAAATACGCAAGCAACGCCTCAAATAAAGCAATAGTTGCCAATTTATTCTAAAAACAAGATAAAAATAAAGGAGAGCTAATAGAATAAAACAAGGCAAGCCATATTTGCTTCTCAACTTTAGCGTCCATTCTAGACTACTAACTATTAAACTATTTGTATTCTAGTGCATCACAAAATAGCATAGGCGTGCAGGGTTGCCAGGCTTCATACATTTTCCATTATTTTACTGTATGCAACAGAAATTATGGACACATCATTATCATTCAAGAGTCGAAATATCAAGTGAGTTTATCTTAGCAGCCTCCAACCATCTACTTTATTGAATGATTCCACATTTTATAACTATAATTTATTATCTTAATGCAAACATAACAAGTGAATACACAGTTCTCTCGATTTTTTTATAAACACAATTACTCGGACTTTCAACCGTATTTCAACGTCATTAAAGTCCATAATCTCCGCGCCAGCAACCCTATACTACCGCAGGCTAGGCTATATGCTGTAGAGGCTGGCACTCACGCCGGCGTGTCCCGCGGCGGACCGAAGCGCCTTCACCTCCAAAGCCAGGGAGTGAACCTCGCCGTTCAAACGCACCACCTGCCGGGGCCGACGGGTGAGACCGCTGGTATAGTTGGTAGTTTGGAACATTGGCGAAAAGATTCAAGCACCCACTATACTAGTCTTCTATTGTTTGACAGTGCGAAAGGAAATATATTATTTGTCATGGCAGATACCTATAGCGGTTGCGACTTCAGTTGTTAAGTGGTATTTGTAACTGAAGCTATACACTATTCCTGAATGACAGAAATTGCAAGTGGGTGAAACCCCAGCCAAAACTTCAAAAGATTTAAGACCTTAGAGTCAGACGGACACAGGGTTAAAGTGAAAGCCTATGCGCAGACCACCAATTTTTAGTCGGCCGATAGTTGGGCCCGATTTTAGTTTGTATGAAAATCAAATCGCTGTAATGTGCGCACTTCCATATATGCCCAATGCCCATACTGATTAACTGTCCGACTAAACTATCGGCCGACGAAAAATCGATGGTCTACACCTAGGCTTACAATGCACTGCAAGATGTCAGTTATAGAAAAGAGATATTGTGAATGGGATGGAAAGCTAAGAAAATATTCGCCAATCTTCCAAAATGGTCAAGACGATGAAAAATCTCAGTCTCAGAAAAAGTTTAATAAATTGCAACTTGCTGCATGTATGTAGGTACTAAGTTTGAATTGCATTCCAAGTTAGTAGAACGATAAATCATTGTTTATATTCTGAAATGCGTGAGATGTAGGTGAAATGAATCACATGCAAATAATAATAGACTTTAAATTATAGTGAATAGACAACAAATTAAAAAGAACAGATATCTAAGCGTCTTTCGAAAGAGATAACGAAGCCGAGATATTAGTCATATTAATCAGTGAATTTAATATTACCACAGATATACAAATACGACAGAAAAAAATAAGGAACAGTATTTTACCTTAGCTTCACTATTGATCAAATTCTGTTTAGTCTTTTCGATTTCAGCGGCCATGTTGACTAGTTTATCTTGCATCTCTTTCTTCTCCATTTCCACTCTCCGCCTCTCCGCGCCTTCTTCCCCCGCCTGGCGCGATAGTCGCGCCACCTACGTCACAACTTTACATGACAATGGCGGTATGCAATATAAGCGACCGGGTAACTTAAAACAAAAAGCAATTTGGTATATTTATATACGTGTTTCAGACGATTTTATTTAGTAAAATTAACCTTAGTAAAGTATATTTTAGTTTTTACATTATTAACAAATTTCCATTTAACATAGCTATATTTAAATTACACAAGGCTATTATGTAGGCGGCGCGGCGGCGATCATTGAATTTTGATAAAAACTTATTATATTTCGTGTGTTGTTGGGTGTTATGAAGTGTGTAAATGTTATTCATTAATTGAATCATTAGTGTGTTGATATAATACATTATGTACAATACAATATTTTGAATTGCATTAAAATCCCATGCCGTTGTTTCATGCACCATGCATTGTACAGTTAAAATATGAATAAACATATTATCCTTTACTCACATTGTATCACATGTATAATAAATAGTAGTGTAGTGTAACTTTTTTGCATTCGTGCACTTCATATTCATACCTATTTGAGTTAGCACAACATTGATATAAATTATTGATCCAAGAAAAGATGTATAAATATACCTATACAAGACACAATTTTACTGTTTTAAGTGAGATAGATAACACCTTCTCACTAATGACCTAAACAAAAGGTGAATAAATATTGTAAATACAGATATGCGACACAATTCGATAGTCACATCCGTTCTTTATATTCGAGTTAAGTCGAAAAACGTCATATTCATTGGAAATTCAATATTACTGACACGTCGATAAGGTACTAGCGAAGATAATAGTTAACACCGTAACACCGAAGCCGTATAGAGCCACTTGCCCTTGGCCGACCTAACTTGAACGCGAAAATAAAAATATTCATGTTTACGCTAACTCCATAATGTGTTTTAGTGCGTCATTTGCTACAACAAACAATGGTACAGTTGCGACATTAAAATAATAGCGCCCTACTTGTGCTTAATAGGTTCATAGAGTTTGGACTCACTATCTGACTGTACCAACCGAAGTATTAATTTAAGTGTTGGCGACATAATAACAACAATCAGTAGGAATAAGATTTTTTTGACATAAATAAAAAACAAGAAAATAACTTTAAACATAATTTAGTTAATGAAATGATGCAATCTTTAAAATAAATGACAGTCTACATTTTGTCTTTCAATTTAGTTCATATACCTATTTCCTGACTATTCCAGAGATACACCTAAACTAGCTAGGCCAAACGTTATTCTATCGACAGGATCGGTGTGTTGGAACGAGAGGTAGCATTATTACAACTACGTCCAACTACATAATCTACCGCAAAAATGACGCTCGAGCGAATAACAAAAAAAAACACAATTTTTATTCAAATGTACACCTCACCTGTGTCTCGAGGGACGCGATCTGTCCGCTCCAGGAAGTTTTGACGTCGGCGAGCGCCATCTTAGCCTCTTGCAGCTGTCTCGTAAGCACAGCTCGCTCGCGACAAACGCGGTCGTAGTCTTCGCATCCAGACGGAGTCACTTCGCGTTTGTCTATACAAAAATTAATTTAAACTATAGGTCTAGCGCTCAGTCAGTGCCTGAGGTATGGAAGCGGGACGGGAGGGGTGACATTGACATTTATGACGTGACAGAGCATACAAATCAGAAGTAAATCTGAAGTTTTCTGACTTTTGACGTTACAAAAACACTACCGTGCCGCTCTCATAACTCAGGCACTAAGTTAAGCTATAATAACAGAAGTACAGCAAAGATGTCATTATAACAATGACTCAAAACATCCTAACTCTAGTAGTAGTAATTTGGTCAGGGTATTGGCTGCTTGAATAAGTACAACCTAATTCAAAAAATCTTCGCTAACTCTATGACGTTCTAGTCATATCAGATCTTGTTTACGAATTTTTACGTCGGTCCAATCATACCTGATTGTATGGGATTTTGAAAAGTCTGAAACTAGGTTGTGATAGTCCGTCTAAAACCAAGGTTGCTATGTTCAGAGGGACAACTCACCATCGTCGTGCATGTGGTGATGCGGGTTCTCGGGCGGCAATGCGGCCCGGACTATCGCCAATTCACCCGCCAAATCCCGGGCCCTTGCATCTGCCTCGCCTAATGCTGCGGTTAGAGAACCCCGCTCGCGGGCCCATTCCCGACGGGCCTGCTCTAATTCCTCCTGATGACAAAAACGATGACGTCACATACTATGATAAAGGTTATAATATTTAGTATCATTACATTAGGCAGGGATTCAACTGGCACTACGATGCCTAAGCCACTGAGCTATTAAATAAAAATATGTCAACAAAGATTAACTTTGCAGCTATTATGCTCGCGTCTTTTAACTTGATTCTCTTGCACATTCAATCACAGCACAGTGCTGTTATTATCATGAAGCTCTAATGCAAACAGATTCCATACCGGGAGTGGAGGCATGGTGCTCTGACAGGCAATCTTTGCCTACATTAGACCTACCAGTCTCCCACAATTTTAGTTGTAATTTAATAATTATCTAGTTGTACCAAATACACTTTTGTACTATGATCACTCACAGTAACAGTGTCGAGCCTGCCCTGTGCCCGCTCGACGGCGGCCAGTCGCTCCCTCAGCTCGGCCAGCTGCCTCTCGGCGGAGTCTCGCGCAGTCGTCGCCTTATACACAGCACAAGAAGTGCTGTAACTTGACTGATCACTCACAGTAACAGTGTCGAGCCTGTCCTGTGCCCGCTCGACGGCGGCCAGTCGCTCCCTCAGCTCGGCCAGCTGCCTCTCGGCGGAGTCTCGCGCAGTCGTCGCCTTATACACAGCACAAGAAGTGCTGTAACTTGACTGATCACTCACAGTAACAGTGTCGAGCCTGTCCTGTGCCCGCTCGACGGCGGCCAGTCGCTCCCTCAGCTCGGCCAGCTGCCTCTCGGCGGAGTCTCGCGCAGTCGTCGCCTTATACACAGCACAAGAAGTGCTGTAACTTGACTGATCACTCACAGTAACAGTGTCGAGCCTGTCCTGTGCCCGCTCGACGGCGGCCAGTCGCTCCCTCAGCTCGGCCAGCTGCCTCTCGGCGGAGTCTCGCGCAGTCGTCGCCTTAGCTGCCTCCGCTTGCGCCGCGCGGGCCACCGCTTGCGCCGCCGCTGCTTCTTCGCCTGAACGAAGAATATTTCTAAATGATGTAACAGTGCAGTACAACGACGCAAATAGAGATACTTTAAAAAATTAAGACCCAGGTAAAAACATAGGATTTTATCACAGACTTTTAAAACGCGGGAAAATCTTTCTGTGACAGACCTAAATTTACGAGGCCGAAATAAGTGTAATGTAGTGTAAGCACTAAATTACATATTGTATTTTTTTTTTCGAATCAGTCTTTTCTGTGTTGAAGACAACATCCATCTTCAGAAACATTTACTTCATGATAAAATAGTAAAAGTGAGCTCAAGACCTTGAATTTGTTTGTTGAAATAATTGCATTTTTTTAATTGCAGAAAGGCATGCAATTATAATGTGTGCGTTACTTTTTCTTTATTTGTTGAGGAAATAATATTTAACGGTTATTGACCTTTAAATATTAAAGCAAGATTTTCTTACCCTGTGCTGATGAAAGAGATAGTTTTAGCTCCTCTATTTTCTGTTCCCAGTAAGCATCTCTCTCTCTTAGCTTCGCCTCAAGGTGTAGAGCTGTCTGATCCACTTGCCCACCCGTTCTCTCCGTAAGGTATGACTCCAGTTGTGGGGATATTGACTGATAGAGAAAAAACACATTTAATACATTACTATTTCAAGTGACACTAATAGGCATAAAATTTCCATAATGAAACCTTTACTTTTATCAACATTGATGCAGTATAATTAATTAGTCTGTAATGTCATTAACCTATTATTGGTTGTCCTAATTAAATAAATAAATAAATAAATAAAACCCTTTACTAACAAGACAAAGTATAGTGCATTGTAATGGGGTAACTCCCTTAATCTATTGATCTGACATATTAGGAGTAAAAGTTTGATATGAAACCTTAAGTATAGTTAAATAACAAAAACAAACATAGCTTTTGTAACAGCTAAAGATATTTCACAAAATTCATCAAGCCAATAATCAGCATTCAGGATAAACAATGTTGAAAACAGCAATTGTGGACATGCAATGCACACAAATGTAAAGAGGTTTTTAAAAAGATTTTAATAAATCTAACACAGTTCTTAATTTTTATGGCTAATTCTACTTATTGCGAGTTTATGAACATTGAAGTCAGAAGTCAACGCTCGAATGCTCTTAAGGATGTATGTATGTAACACTGATTTGCCGTTACTACTGTAGGTTTTTAATAAAATTTCACAAAATCAGTAGACAAGAAAACTGTGCCAATGCTAATAATGAGTCAAATACATAACACAAGAATTTATATAAATTATAAAAACTTAATTAACTTAATCATTAACATGACTGTGGCTCAGTAATTAATAAAATTAATTGATAACCAGGTAGCAAAGCTGTTTATTTAATTAACCGATTTCATTTAAGTTTATTTAGTATTGTTTGCACTGGATTATTTTTTATTGAGCAATACTAACACTTGCGCAATATAAAAACTTTCATGAGTATTCAAGTAAGTACCTACATAAAACATTTATCAAATGATAGAGTAAAACTTGTATTCTATGCTATTAAAATCAGTTTCATCTTTTTCCGCCCGCAGATAGCAAAGCAAACAGTGTAATAAAAAACACAAATAAAATCATGCAGACGATAACAAAATATTCTAATGCTCAAAAATGTTATACTCACATCCGATGTAGAATCTCCAGGTCCTCCTGAACTTGAAGGACTTGCTGTTGACTGAAATAACAATTTGATTGTGTAATCTACAGTTTATTTTAACTCCCACATTAACTTGTTTACAATGTTATCTCTGGAGAGCAGCCAGCATTTAATAGTTGATATTGAATACAAATAAATATTTTTTGATAGCAAATGAGGATAAGTACAAAGAATATGATTTTTAATTTCCAATTTCTAATGTAGGTAGTTATTGGTATGTATATTATTAGAGAATTTATTTAATAATGAAATTTTTTGTCTATTTTCTTCTTCGTTAGTTCATTCTCGTTCTTATGAGTCTACTCATTACAGGCAAAATATGCTTTATTGCAGCAGTATTGTTTATTTATACTAATTCAAGGAAATGTACCAAAATGCTAGAGTAGGTACTTCTGATTGTTAAAGGTACATACTGGTATGTTAATACAGTTGTTTAATCTTTCAGGATATTGTAAAAATCCTGCCACACTCGCAATACTCACTGAATCATCTCTGAGAGATATACGGCCAAGGAAAGCACCTGTTCGCCAACTGCTAGTCAGCTTGCTGAGGTCACTGCCTGTCTCCTCCTTTATTTTACTCTTCAAGCTCGCAAACATCGTGCTTACTTAACTGTAACCAACACAAAGAAGTGTCGCAAGAACAAGAACAACTCGCTAAATGCAAATGACCGAGATAACGTTCGATAAACTCACAATTTCGAGCTGGTAAAAGCAAGTTCAATACCAATTAATACAACCACTATAAACGTCGATCAACGCCTAACATCTTTATATCCTTATGAAAACACACATCACTGCATTATACGGTTAATAACGATGCTAATCTCAATTCTGAAACCCCTCAAATAATAGAAGAAACTATAAATTCATCGTCGCACACACCAAAAAACGGAGAAATTGACTTGATTGGATTGACGTGAATGAAAATTGACGTTGACAATGACATTGACAATTTATACTGTTTTAAAATATAAGAAAAGGCGAAGGCATACAGCCATACAGCTATTATATTTTTTATTTTTCTTTGTGGCAATTCATGCAATCTTGCTTGATGATTGTTTTACGATATTCAAGTGTTTGTTGTACTACCTACCTACTATGCGTTCAATGCTTCATGAGAATAACATTTATTTCTCACTAAAATACTATTCTAATGTTATTCTCTGAATATTTCTCCAACTGCTGCAATGAGGACTTTGTACTGTTTGCATGCACTACATTAGCTGGCGCCACTGGCGAGTGGCAGGATCTTTAAGCAAAAGAGCAGAATTTGTGGGCAGGGCAGGACCTTCTCTCTTTAAAGCAGTGGCGCCATTCTCGGTGAGGAGTACACCTCCTTTGCCTATCTCATTAGCTTTAGTGTACCTTCTACCTCAGCCTTCTAACTAGTTATTATAGAGAAAAGTTTAAAAAGTTATCCTGTATTTAACGAAGAAGGGTCTCCAACAATGTGACCCAAGGTCATGTTCGTTGTGAATAACTTCTTTTGAATTATTTTCTTGTACCTACTTCGAACTTCCTCAATCATTGTTAGGAGCTGACCTACTTTTTGTGGTGTATCAAAACTACCTTACTAAATGGAGTGTCTCGCGTACGTCTTCCAAGGTCACCAGCCATTTCCTTGAGGGGGACTTTTTTAGGTATAGCTAGCTACTGTATGCTATTGTAATCGAATCAAGGCCAATGTGTTTTCTTATACCATAGTTCTGTGAACACTATGCAGACTTCCTGGTTTTTTATATCGTTGGGTCTAGCTAGACTTGAAGTAGATGGGTGACAATAGCAGCCACAGATATCTGTGATAGCAGCTATGGTCCGTAATTATTTTTTATGTGGTCCCTCCCTAAAAAACACACCCTTAGGCTTTATAAGCCCTTAGGTACGTTTAGGAGAGCAGGACAGGGGGGTGCTAGAGATTGGCGCTCTCCTGTTGGCGACACTGGCGAATAAGGTCCTTTCGCTTGCTTGTGTGCGGTTAAGTCAGTGGCGCCATCACAGGCGCCATGGTGAGCACTGAAGCGGTAAGGTCTATTGCAAGCATTGACGAAAGGTCCTGTCACTCGCCAGTGGCGCTAACTGGTGTGTGCATTTAAGAAAATCCTTATTGATATAGCCTCTTTTACCTGCCAGTTAATTTCTTTAGATAGCCAGTGTAATTAATCCGATATCATAAAATTTTGGTTAGAATGTAGGTGTTATTTGCAATAAACAAAAGTATGTAATCTGATGTAGTGTTGACTCTGCCAGTAAAAGTGTATGGTATCATGATTTAAATGCTAAACTGTCCTGTCTGTATCTGTATTAATTACTAAAAATATTGTTTGTGTATTCAACATTCAAGTTTTCAATTATCACATTGATATGTAGGATTTGTTCATGGTTTTTTCTTAAATATTAATTATAGGAATAGGTAGGAATTTATTAGATGGTAAAATAAAACTTAGAGATCACATATTCAGTTGTTTATTATCTATACTGTACTCAAAATTGATCCGAAGATCACATCACATAGTAATTTCATAAATAATATTACAATGTCATGTACTTTCTGTGATTGTTCGTGAATAAAAAAATGTTCACAATATTATCAATACTTTGTTCACTGGACCGGTTTACCTTTACAGTAGCCTGTCGGTACTTACTACATAATGTACCATTAGGTACACAAACAACTTACAGTGTATTTGATGAGAGATATAATAATCAATTATTGTTGCAGTTCATTTTTTTGTCAATATATTTACAGTTTTACATTTTTTTTGTGATTTACAAATAAATTCTTGAATATTTAATTAGGTCATCATTATTCCATTTGGATTTATAATAACAGTACTTTATAGTTAAAAATATCACAAAAATGAAATATATTATGTGTAAGACACACGCAACATTAAAAATACAACAAAAAGAAAAATATAAAATCCACTAGAAACCGCGGGCCAGAAGAGTCCCTTCTAAACAGGAAGGATACTTTCGATGTTCAATCTTTTATATCGGCAATTTGATACCATAATTATTATTATCACACTAATTAATTATAAAAGTAATCGATTGTCTTACAATAAATGCGTCAGATCATAAAATTTTGATTATAAAAATTATAGGCAACAAATAATTTCATGAAACGATAAATTTCAACAAAAAATAAATGACAACTTATATTATAAGAGTCATAGTGCCGTATTGATAAAAGTGAAGTTCACTTAGCCACTAGCACGGACCGATATAACAACCAACATAAACAAACGCAACGAGCTCCTACCGAGTTTGACTCCGCTTCCGATATTCACCTTTTATCGATATGGCATTCCACTTACGTTACGACAATAAATATAACACGCTTACACATTAATCACTTCTTTAATTCCGACGCTAGGAATTATTTCATAATATATACCTAAAAATATAATCACGGCACAAGTATCCCTCCGACTAAATTACTAACGTAGTGTCACTTTATCAGGATTTAGAATCAAATATGTATTATGTATCTTAAATATTTCATTATTAATATATCATTATCAAAATATCCACTAAATGGGAGGAATAAATCAAATTATTAATATTTACTCTAACATTAATTGCATGACTGATCAACAAAAAGGATATGGACTAGGAATAATATTAGGCTTTAGGCTTCCATGCCCTCGGGGCGCGCGCGCCGCTGCGGCGTGACGCTCGTGGCGACGCGCTCGGGACTCGGCGCTCGCTCGCTTGTGGCGACTGGCGCTCGCGAGCCGAGCTTGCATGCCCGTGCGTTCGCGCTCGCACGCTATGCGGCCCCAGCGACGCGCGCGCTCCCGCCTCTCCTCTCTATCCGCATATCACCTCTACATACATACGACGAGATAAATTTGATCAAAACGTTAATACTGTTTGTGTTGAAAACAATACAGGTAGCTATTTCTTCATGCTGAACTAACCGAGAGGTAATCGGACTCGATCGTCGGTAATATTTTGTGCTTCGATAGACGGGAAACATCAGTAAAAGAATGAGTATCTAGCAAAATCTATCTGGAATAAAAGCCGACGTTCTATCCTAGAATTTAGGTAAATAGCTTGGAAGTATGCCTTCTTCGTTTTAATATTGTCCGATAACGTTCATTGTATTTGGAATTTCTGTCCTCTATCACTCTACGAGTGTCGTGATCTATGCTAAGTGTGAACGGGCGACGCTAGCGCCGCGGACGCGCGGGCGCCCGCCGGCCAGCCCCGGCGTCAAAAGTTCCGTGCCGAAGGAGAGAAGCGGCTACTCTATTGGTGTTTCATTACTGATTCGCTTAATCTAAACTAGTGTAAAACTTGTCATCTAGAAAAACATATTTCGTAACGTACATAAAAAAGTAACATAATTCTCACAAAAATGCTCACGTTAGGAGTGGGGTGATGCAACTTTTGACACCGGCCATAGCCGTCGGCCGTGAGCGGGGCACCACCCGCAATATCATATCGCTTATATACAACAAAGTTTCCGTGCTGCGCCTTGCGGCGGACGCACCGATCTTTACAGGAACTCATATCGTATCATAAAAAAAATAATATACAATAGTAATAAAACATTTGAAACCTCACTAACTACTATTCGACGATCTCGGTACGATCTCGATAAATTAGTCAAACGGCTCCGGCGTCTCGAAATCTATTCATATCACATTCGCATGACCGTGCCATATGAGAATCATATCCCGCTACTTATGTACACACTCTTCCCGAAGACTAACGAACTCCGGGCGGGAGCGGGGAGCCCCCGCCGCTAACACTAACCGATATTTACTAAGATATCACCACCTCCGCCGGGGAGCGGCGTGATCTGCCGAACCTGCCTTTCCCGAGTGTGGCGCGATCGATATGGATAAGGGCGCGGGCGTCGAAGGACCTGTCGAGGGGTGGGGTGGGGGAGGACTAGTGAGTATGTGAGATCAAGGATAACCAATAAGAATAGAAGAGAAACTCTTGCGTGTGTCTCAAATGTCGACATACAAACGACTTCTTCCCCCATCAGCTCGTAAAAGCCCGCTGTCGACCACGCGTGTTCCTGGTTGGTAAGATACCAACCTGATTGAAGCTTTGCATTTTCAGTGGGTTTCTAATCAGTATTGTAGTATTTAAATGACGTGGTGTATTTTAAACGTTTAAATGTACGTGCTTGATGAAGGTATATGAGTGTTTAATCGCATTACTTGAACAAGCTAGTAAAATAAGTAATAACTTTAATAAGCAACCAATGAGACAAAGAGAGACGAGAGGCGTTGTGAGCCCAAACCTCGAGTGAAGCGGGCTAAGTACCAGCGACCGTGACATGAGTGAGTCGCGAGTTCCACTTCTATGCTTACTACTTATTCTTAGGCGAGTCAGGTGTGTGAGTGGTGGGGTGAGGGGGTGAGGGCGTGGGGGGCGGGGACAGGTTAGGGGGGGCGCAGAGCTGGCGGCAACTGGACCGGGATGTGGTAGTATCGGCAGGCGGCGCGGCGGCAAGTGCCCGCGGCGGCGTCGCGGCAAACCACCACGCGGCACCCCACCACCTGTAGCCCGCACCCTGGAACCCGCCAAAAGATGGCATTAGTACACACGCGATGGTGTCTCGCCAATTAACAAGATTTTCAGTTTGAGACCAAAATGTAGGGGCAATTTGGACAAGTGATTAGTCAGTAGTAACAAGCAGCCATGTTTCTTTAAGTTAGAGATTACTAAAAAAGAAATGTTAAGTAGATTTTAAAATAATTTTATTTTTTACAATATATTTTATTGATTAAATGAAATGTGAAATGGAAAAAACTGCTAATGGGATTGTGTTCCCAAAGCATCAAACAGCTACTTCAAGTTTGGACAGCCGCTGGGCTATTGGGCTGGTTTCTAAACTGATGGCTAAGATTTTACTAGTGATAAAAATAATCTTGATAAAGTTAATAATCTAAGGCTAGCTTTTTAATACTGATTTAAATGGCATAAACATGATTATAATAGTTTCTAGATAAACATTTCTAAACAGGTTTCTAAACATATCTAACTACTTTATAAGACTAAAATATAATAAATGTTTACTTTTCTACTTGGTAACATATTGACTACTTGATTAAACATCTTGGAAGAAAATATAATAAAAACTAATATCTATACTAAGTTGTATCACACTAAATACTCGTTGACCTGAAATTTTGTGCTATTCGAATGTACATTTAGGTCATGCAAAACAACTAGGATGGAAAAGGATGGACTTTATAGAGATATTCAGTATTATCATTAGACAAGTCACACAATATGATTATAAACTATTTCAATTATGTCAATTTATTTACATGCTCAGTTTAGTTGAGAACTTTTCATGAATTCTACACGGTTCGTTAGTAAATTACAAAATAAAAACTGCATAAAAATTACCTTCACGAATATGAACAAATCTGCAGGTAGGTCTTGTACATCCTTGTCGATTAAAATCTTGGCACACCGGGAGGGTGTCCAGTAACTGCAAATACAATAATAAAATATCAGTTGTATTGTCATTACTCATTAATAGCTTGAACAACCACACAGTTGGCCTCTCAATACTTTTATGTTCAACAAAATCACGAGATTCCATAGATGATCATTGTTATTGCAGTTGTCATGTAGCACAATATAAAAATATAGCAACCAATGCTTTAAAGTTTTAAAATCGGCTTACATTTAGGCATTTTGATCGGCAAGGTACTGTTGCGACCACTATGGGGACATTCTCGTACAGATTACGATCTTTAAAGGTTTATTAGTAGCAAGTATTTGTGGTACAACTGTGTGGCGTGTCCGTATAACTAAATAGCTACTTCATTAACAGTCGGAACTTTTATTGCCTTGGCCTTAATATCAAAATAATGGTGACCTATATTTTGCACTGAGCATTAGTGTCAGGTTGTATAATTATTTTAATCATCCAAAGTTTCCGACGGTTGACGAACTGTATTTGTTAATAGTGTTAATTCTAAGTCTATATCATCACTTCTTAGACATTCATACATCTGACATTGAACATTATCCTCATTGCACAGCCGTCTGGAAAATAACGCTGGAACAGCTTTTGTAATATCAAAGAGCAAGTCCGAATTACGACTCTATGATTGTAGGGTATGCTAAATTGGCGGAGCTCTAATGGTTTTACGTCTGTTGTTTTATAATTTTTAATTTAATAACTTCGGTTTATTGTTACTGATTGAATTTAATGCGTGTGTAGTTTCTCATTCGCTACATAAATCAACACAAAACGGGACACACGGAAGGCAAATTGCTCGAAACCAAATATTGTTGCTGCTTCAATATTACAAGAACTTTACAAGATTCGTTGCACAATATGATTGGATCTTCCAAGCATTCTTTCATTTACGTGCGCGACGATGCAATGTGTGTCACCTTTATATTGTAATATTGCTGCTGTATTAAAATTATCTTTACACAAAATTAATTAATAATTACGAGCCCAAAGAGTTAATCATCTCATAAACGTGTTTCCGTTACCGTCAGAGAGTAGTGTTAAAGTACGCTGCACTATGCACATAGTAGGTATGGATATATAATATCTAAATGGCATGCAGAACGCTTGAAGTATAATCATTATTGCGCAGCCAATCTTATTTAAGCGTGACTATATTTTACAAAAAAGCTAAAGCATGATGCTAGACAACTTTAACCAGGGCGAGGGCGTTCTAGAGGTTCTGTAGCGCCAAAGTGTACCCATAAATACCAACTGTTGCTATAATAAAGCTTAAAGAGGCTGTGTGGGGAAGTTGCGACGTGTGTGTCGGCTGTGATGATTCAGACAGTACTCCGATGTCTCAGTAGAGGTACAGAGGACGGTCATGCTTATCGGTAAGTAGGCATGGTTAGATGTAAATAGACAAATTAAACTTATACCTTTAGCTTACATGACAGTTCTGGACGTGACATGTTAGTGGTAGTACAAACTGCAACATAATGACCATTAGAGAGTGCGGTTACTGTACGACAAACAAAAGAAAACCTAGGAATTATTACATCTACGGTGAACACTGTAAATAAGCATCAGAGGTTTCAACAAGTCGTAAGCGAGGAATTGAAGCCGCAACGGCTAAGCACTTAAGCATAATAAAGAAAAGTCGAAGTGAATCACCGACCTATTAGCAAATTGATACTTTTTTTCGAGCTCAGATTACATTCATAACAACTGCAAAGCGCTCGTGATTAGGTCTCACTTCGACGTTTCTTTTATTCACCAACGTCATTTCAACTACCAACTACGCAGAAAAAATAAATTGATTACAGTAAGCGTTATAATAAAATTGTATGAAACAAAAACCCCCTTATTAGCGGTTGATAGTTGACACTGGCAAAGGTGAAAATACATATACATTCTGCTAAGAAGTTGACCCGTGCTATTAAAATTTATCATTATAATGTATAAAAATAGTTACTTATTGTCTTTTACATAAAACAATAGATCGGTCAACTTTTTAACAGGCCGTAAATTGGCTTCGTTATTACATTATTAAAATCACCTTTACTGAAACGGCCGAGTCATTAGACAAAACAGATTAGAAGCACTTGGTCAGCATTGGACAGTAGTGCGCGGTCAGACTAGTAAGTTAAGTTGGAGATGTTAACAGTTATCTTACATGCAGTGACAAGCGGCGTGTTTCAGTATAGGTTTAAAACAGGAAAATCACTTATACTGAGGATATTATAGTAAGCTGATTGTATCTTACCGGGTGTAAGCAAGGCAATACTGTAGAGTGACTTCTTCCACATTTGAAAGCAAGTATGTCTCACTATACAAAAACTAAAAATCATCAACAAGTAAGTTTTAGCATCAACTGTTCATTACATTATAAATAGATACAGTTACAGCACAATGAGTAAAAAATGATTGATGTGGATGATGACATTGATACACGTGAGACGGCAGATAAGCAGCGCCATCGCTCTGGACCGCTGTAGGTCGGTCATGTCCTGTGTCCAATCATGTGTCAGTTACTCGATTCATCCAATTGCAAGATATTTTTATATTCGTGGACAAACCGCATCCTGATTGTGAGGCATTTCGAAGGCACAGGAAATATTGTAGTCGGTTTGATAAGATAAGCCGGCCATAGCTTCCAGTGGTGCGTGTGAGGCCGATAAAGCACCTTGACCCGTGTAACTTCAGTAGCGGTGGTTACGTTGTTTGATTGTATGTGGCTCGATATTAATAAGCGCTTAGTCTACTAAGTCCGCTCGAAGCATGATAGATTGAACTAAAACAACTAAATGTGTCTACTAAGCATAGTGAAGCAAGCTCAAGTCTTTAGTTACTGCAAAGTCTTTTTTAATTTTAATTTATCCAGCATTATGTACAGATCACACGTCAAACGTCACGCGATCATTCGTCTCATCAAATTAGGCCACTCAAACCTTTCAGTCGTTATTTTAGAATTAACTTGTTTAATACAAATTGAGCTTGTAAACTGAGTATAAAAAGCGGCAGTTAAGTTGCGTAGGTAGGTAGATAGGTGATATGCGTGCCGTGGCTCCGCTGGGAGGGGAGCGTACTGTTAGAGCGAGCGAGGCGAGGCTCCCGCCGTGTTAGGCCTAGCGTCGGAGCGGCGGAGTCGGAGTCGGGAGAGTGCCGTTAATAAGCGGAATGCGGTGCGGTGCGGGAGTGGTCACGCGGCACTCGTTACCTGTCCGCGCTCGTCGGTGTACACCACATAGGGCGCGTTGGGAGGCGCACAGCCTGGCCGTCCGACACAAAAAGCGACAAAGAATTTGCAATGCGGACGACGGCCGAAGCGGTCATTTGGAAGGCATGTAACAGAAAGCGTCCAAATAAATAAGAAAGATAGTGCGACCGAAAGAAAAAGCGGGCGACGCTCGTCGACACCGCGCTACTGATGAACTGAAAACGCCGGCACACTTAGCACACACGAGGAGCACTAGAATAATGAGAATAATACCTGATGAGCCAAACGTATAGGGGTGGTGGGTTCTATCCATGCTAAAATTAGAAGGCTGTGTTAGGTGCGGGCCTGCAGCTGCAAGCCGGTAACCACTAGGTACGGGATCGACACATCGGCCAAAGCGCACCCGTGCGGACTCCTCCGGGAACAAGCGTGTACGTAGCGGGATCGACGGACCAAGCGCTCAACTCTCAGTACGACGATAGGTACTCACGAAACGACGATCGACAAGAGGTAATAAAAAAACGTACAGTCATGCATCTCAAGCGTTATTATTACCGGGATCGTAGATACGAGAAATATACACGCATAGGATAATAACGGTAAGTGAGTAGATACACAATAGAATAGATAATATAGCGTAAAACTACCGAGACATCCGCGAGGGCGTATCCTCTCGCTTCGTCCTTACAATAATACAATACAAAGTGACAACACGCCTAGCGCTAACCGCCCCGACAGGCCGGGGCGGGACACTCGGTCGCACACGTACGAGTCTCTACGGGAGACCCCGCGCCCCGCGCCCCGCCGGCCGCGGGCGAGCCCGCCGCGCCCTCTATGTCGTCTTCATCTTCTTGTAGGGGTTGTGCGCCTGCGCGGCCGCCGCCGCCGCCGCCGCCGCGTGCGCCGGCGGCGTGGGCGGCGGCATGGCGTACATGTACTGCTGCGGGTAGTAGGCGGGCATGTGCATGGGCGGCGCGGGCCAGCCCGGCCGCATCATGAGCGGCGCGCGCATGAGCCCGGGCACGGCCTGCGCGCGCGCCTTGAGCTGCTGCGTGTAGGCCGCGGCCGCCTGCGCCATGGCCGAGTGCTGCGCCGCGAAGGCCAGCGCGGCCGCGTAGTTCTTCTGCGCCACCTCCTTGGCCATGGCGGCGGGGTCGGGCGCGTGCGCCGGCGCGTCGGGCAGCGCGGGCGGCGTGGGCGGCGCGGCGGGCGGCGGGGGCCGCGGGGGCGCCCGCCGTGAGCGCCGGCGGGGCGGACGCCGCGGGCGCGGGGTACTCACATGACACGGGCACGAACGGCTGCTGGAGCTGCATCAGCTGCTGATAGGTCGTCGCCGGCTGGTACACGGGCACTCCGGCTTTGTCGGCCGCGGGTCGCTTGTACGGCACCACGCCGGGGAAGGCCTGCGAACGAGACGATAGGATCAGTGGACGAGCGAGTCGGCCGCGGCGAGGTTCGCGCTCGGCGGGCGGGATACTTACGAAGTTATCGTAATAGAAGGATCCGACGCTCTTCATGTCCATCTGAAACGAGAAACAGACGGTTGAGCGGAGGTTCTCGGGTGAGGTCGGGCGGAGTCGCGGCGGCGGCGCGCGGCGAGGGGCGGGGGCGGCCCGTCGCCGCGCGGCGCCGGCGCGGAGGCGCGCGGAGGGATGGTGCGGGCGGGAGGGGGTTGGGAGCGGAGGTGAAGCGTGCAAAGCTGCGCTGTACCGGTGGCGGCTCGAGCTCGGCGGGCGCCGGCCGTTTCTTGCCCGGCTCCGAAGTCGCGCTCGCTGCCGGCTGCTGGACTGCGGCGGCCGTCTACGTGAAGCCAAGCGTCGCAGGACGGGACAGAAACAATAACGATGTAGTAGATGCACAGAATACACCTAAAGCTCGGCGTAAGGTGATATTATGCGATAGAATAAAAATAAAATAAAAGTGAAGCGTGAGTGCGACGGAAGCGTGGCGCGAGCCGGGCTGCGCGAACTGAACAGAACAAAGCCTGCGAACGAAAGCGGCGTCGCGGCGAGCGAGACCAAGCGGAAGAAGAGAAGCGAGCGCGAGCGAGCGAGGCGAGAGCGTGCAGCCTGGTGGCGTACCGCGCCGCGCGCCTGCGCCTTAAGGTGCGCCTGCAGGTGCAGGGGAGGGTGGAAATAGCGGCAGGGGTCGCGGACGCAGCGGCCCTTGACGGCGTCCATGCACACCGTGACACAGCCGTCGTCGTGCGCGGAGACGGTCGGCGGCGGGTGCGCGAAGCGACACTCTGACTCGGCGCGCTTGCACGCGCCGCGCTGGAACTCCCGGCACACCTGCACCACCACACACCAGGATGTCCGCCGCTCGCGCGTCCGACTCCGACGGCCCGGCCGCCTTTCAACCGACTCGAAACACTCGCTGCTACTCGGGTACGCGCCTACCGGACTCTAACCGCGGAAGCGAGTGTTGCATCGATGGATTACGGAATTCTAATCATGGAAACTAATATCCCACCGGTGGGAAGATCTTTTACGATGACGGTATTTTTATACCACTCATATAAAGATCTTTTGAAATTTTACTCGACCCGACGCCGCTTTAATATCTTTTTCAAACGAGAGATTGAATTACGTTAACTATACGCATCCGTCGCATCAGTCTATCAATTTTGAATCTATTCAGGGATTATTGTTATGAGTTTACTTTCAAACGTTATTAATTATTCAGGGACTCAAATAATTTCATGATACATTTTCGATTTAAGGATTCGATTTCGGTTGTTAAGCGCATGGCCTTCCTGCATTGTGGGCGCAAGTGAAAATAGAGCGGCTATCCGTATACAACTAACAGACAACAGTGTCAGTTCGCGTGTATAAGGTCATTGCGCCTACAGTGCAGCCTACCTAGACAAAGTAACATTCGATATTCGAATCGCTTTTCCAAACCTCTAAAGGTGTACCTAAACTTTTTTACAGCTTTGCCGAGATCAAATGGCCAACGGCAGATCGGAGAAATAAAATATCGATGATTTTAGTCCCCAGAACTTCGCTGGTCTGACGATCTCGGCACATCCGTAGATCTCATGAAGTGTTCAGTTAGAGCATCATTTTATAAACATTCACTTGTATGGCTAGCCATGTTGGGAGAGCCAGTTCAAGCGAAAGTGTGCCGTAGCGATGTTACTTTGTCTACTGGCACAGCTCCTTCACCAGAGGGAGTAAGCGAGTGCTGCTGCTCGCAAAGCGCTCGCGCGTCGCACCGGCCAGTGCGCGCGCGCATGGAACGCGCGTAGGCCCACGGCCGAGAATGCATCGGGGACCGACAACACAAAACACTACACCTACTTGAAAAGGTTGTCTTATCTTTAAGGTGTGCTCACATTGCTTCGTCGCGTGCACAGGGCGAACGGCATTTGTTTGAAACACAGTGGCTTAACCACGGTCCCATGCAGATGACGCCCTTTCTGCCCACGTTACGTAGCAATGTGAATACACCTTTATTGGACGATACACCAGGATGGCCCCGTCGACTAATAACGACCACGTTTAAGTGATTGGAATAACCCTAAATATTTTTGAGTGCGGTCAATCTTTTAAATAAAACAAGAATCAAAAATTTTAACAAATACTGCGAAATGAATCGTTTCCTTTTATGCTTCTCATACCTACTTAAGCAGATTTATCCTTATTGACAGATTTAAAATAATGAAGGAGTGCTTTGTCAAGAACAAGCATATTTTTGCATTTTATTTATTTGTCACGTCTTTCGACGTTGAAGTTTCGTAATTACTTTTGCATAGCTACTTATGATTAAAATAATACAGTTACAGATTATAGATATAAAAAAAAAAGATTCGACCCAGTCCAATCACATAAACATAAATGGTCACTATCAGTAAGCGGGGCTTACAGTTAATGCATCATCCTCTTCACTTTCGTCGGTCCCCGTAAGTGACAACATTGGGAAGCGCTACTCGACTTGGTTACTGATGATATATCAAGAATATGCGCGTGCTCACCTCGAGGCGGTCGGTTCGCGGGAGCTTCTGCTGCAGCACAGGCTGCTGCATCACGCCGAGAGGCGAGGCGGCGGCGGCGGCCGGGTCGTGGCCCAGCACCGCCGGCACCAGCTGCGGCGCGTAGTACTGGTACGTGGAGCCCACGCCGGGCACGCCCGAGAGATACGGGGACGTCGCCTGTGACACAAGCAGACGGCGCCGGTTAAGTTGCTTCCAGGTGATGACGGCTTCAGACGCTTACGCGCCGCGCAGGTGGTCGAAGAATAATGAAATTTATTTAATGCTCGGGAAAATACTGAAAAAATACTGGACTAGAAGACTCCTGGGAGTCAATTCTGAACATTATCTTAGGACATGAGCAATGTGACACTATTCTTGTGGTTATAATTAGAGAACTAAGCTGGAAAATTCTTATATGGGTCTGCTCAAAGACACGCTCTATCGTCGATCTAGATTCTTAGGGACTTAATTTAATGACTGCAACGCCACCTGCGCGAGCTGTAAGTCATTTAGAAACCAATATGTAATAGAACACCATTCCAAACTCATGTTGCCGCTACTATCTATTACACACAATCACAAAAACACACTTAAAATCTAATTGCAAGCACACGTTACCATTACCAATAGAAACAAAAAATGCAAGGTTAACAATAAATTGTTCATTACATCAGAATCAGTAGATTAGATTTACATTGTGTCGAGTTAGCCAAAACAAGCATTTGCATGCAGTAATAAAAGAATTGAAATATTAAAAAGCATACCAGTCTAGCTACATACCGGCCACCAGAGAAAAGGAAAGTGAGAAGAGGAAAGGACGAGGCGTGAGTGGGTTTCTATCAATATTTAAATATGCAGTGCCATCGGAGTTGATCAGTTCAGGGTGCGAGGTGGTCGATGGCTGTGGTCTTGGTCGATGGCAGGTGGTCGGTGGCCGGCAGTGCGACGCGTCGGAGGCGGCAGTTACCTGCGGAGTGAGCAGGGCGAGACTGATCGGGTCCAACGCGGTGAGGTGGCTCGCGGCCGCACCCGTTCCGCTCACGCCGCCCACCTCGACACAAAACCACACAAACACGCTACTCATCGTGCGAGGTTCCATCCACCCCAGGTCCTAGTGCCTCGGCGTACGTCCGGGCTCCACCACGTCGTCGATCTACTACCGAGACCAAAGCAGCTGCTATCTCAACTCTACCCGAAGCTAACACGAATAGCGGTGCGAGGAGGAACGCCGAGGTATTAGGCCGAGGCCGCCACGATAGCGACGACAGTGCGACCAGTGAAAAAGGGTGTTTCAGTGATTAATCCTGCATTACCACCTATTCCCAGTTTATACAGTGTGAGTAAGATTGGAAAGTAGACATGCCACTTAAGGAACGATTCGTACAACATGCTAAAGGCGGAAGGAGCGATCGGCCACCAGCAGCGAAGTTTAAGTTGTGCCCGAGGATTAATGATGTTCTAATAAGCATACGTTTCTTTTTATTTTATTTTGTTTGGAAGTCCACGCACTTGAAAGAAAAGTTTAAATTAAAGTGGAAAACTTCCCATCGCGACCGTAGAGAATTTTCTTGGGGAAAATAAATTACCATTAACTTGCGACACGTATGATATGTTCTAGAGAAAACTTCGTATGGGAATTATGTTAAAAGTTTACAATTAGATATTATTTGACTCGAATGAATGTTAGTTTAGACTGCAGCTAGTTTTAAGAGGCACAACTTAAACGCTATCTCCAAAAACTACGTGGTTTAATAAGAATGCTTCAAAAATACAGGGTAGCGAGTACACCGAAAGCTGCGTGTTGCGTGCACAGATTTACCTACAATGTTGAGGACCGATCGCTCAAGCGAGGGCGGAGGCAAGAGGAGAGGCACTCACCACGGCGGGGACCTGGCCAGGGAGCACCTGGCCTGGCGTGAGGCCCATCTGCTGCATTAAAGCGTTCTTCAATGCTAGGTGATTTCTTCCGTTGATCAGCAGTTGATCCTTCAGGTGTTGGGGAGGATGGAAGTACTTGCAAGGCGGCTTCTCGCGGTTACACCGACCCTGGAAATGGGAAAAAAATTATCCATTAACAATATTTCTTAAATCAAGCAAAATACACAAAAGATAAATCATAATTTTGGACATTACGTACACATTCTATAATACAAAAATACATAAAGAAATCGTTTTCGATTCAAACATCGAAAGCAATGGGTAAAATTTTTGCGATATCGGCGTTTGATTCAATGGACTATTTTGAAAGAAGTTTTTGCGGGTAATGTTAAGAGATAAGAAGCACGTACTTCCAGGTAGGCGATATTTTTGGGCTTTGAGCATAGACGAAAATTGCGGACCTCATTCGATATCACTCCGATAAGCAATATGTGCCGGGGCGGCGGCCGCGGCTCGGCTCGGCTCAATATCAGGCGAATGTGCGGAAATCCCTCCATGCATCACAATTGCGGTGAGCCGGGCACGTAGCCACCAGAATCCTCCACTCGATTTTTCCTTATAACCGCGTCTTAGGCGGTGTCAAATATTTCTGAGGCGTGTCGAGAGCGCGGCGCGTTCCTCGCTTTGCTCATTTTCGACGTCAATGAGGCGCGAGATAATTGCCTTTCGGAATCGAAGCCCTCCGCCGCACCCGTCTATGATGATTTATTTACATCCGCGTAATTAACTGTCGCACTACGTGACGGGAAGAGCCTCGCGGACGTTTTATCGTCGCACGCCGAGCCTCTAGCGCAATATTTTATTCAGTGAAAAAACGGAAAAGCGCTTATCGCTGTTCCAAAGAAATACGTATACAAACAAACGCCATCTGAATATTCAGTACTACACTTGGGGACGCGCTTACTGATAATGTCCGCGGAGCGGCTCCCGAGTGATTTATAGAGTAACTTTTTTAAAGCACGTCCGATAGCATCGGAATAGTTATTTAAACGTACAAACCGAGTCGGAATACATCGAGGACAGCAAAGTATGAATCTTTGGCCGCATCAAATGCAGGCTTGTTCCAAATTTGTCGGTTACCTATTAAACTTGTGCGATGCGTGCTACAACTAGCTAGTGAAAGCAGTCGGCTGCATTTAGATTAACTTGTTACTGGCAGGCATAATGTTAGTTGGACGGTCCTCTCGCAGTTTAAGCTCGGGATAAAGTTATTATTTCCTGTTACTCGGCGCCGTCTACTTTAGCCGAGTTTCGACTCCTACCAACCGTTTGTGAAACTTGGTGATCACGTTTTCATCATATCTATGATAACTTGGTCGGCTCTATCAAACTCGGATTTATTAGCTGGGACGGATTTGACTATTATTAACTTTGCAGTTGGAGCGCCCTATTCAGGTCAATGTTGACTGAATAAATTGAACTGAGATAAGAGCTAACCGATAGCCGATATCAATCAGGGATTCCCATAGTATAACTATTTCATAGACGAGACATAAGTTGACACAATAGGACCAATTGTAGTAAAGAGGTGGAAAATAGCTGTGCATTTTCAGACTCACGAATTACGGTCGGCAGATTTGTGAAATTGTCGAACGTGAAATACGCGACAGGAATAGTATCGTGTTTTATCCGGCTCGCTATTAGCGGGGGTAGCGTTTTGTATCGCTTCGTTCATGCGCCGGTCACTGGGGTCGTCCGGCAGGTGTATCGCAGCGATTAGCGTGACGGATGCCCGCGTCGCCAGAGACGGATGGCCCGCGCCGCCCGCCGCCCGGCTGCCCGGCGCACACATTACGATACATTAATTGCTCTTCGATCACCTCTATCTGCTCACGTACATCCATGCATCTACTACACACTATGCATAGGCCAATTCAGCGCTTTTAGAACATCAATTACACCCTTTTTTTTACAAAATAAATGGATGCAGATCATTGAAATGGATGATGCTTATAACCGTGTTAGGCCGCGTGGATTAAAACAAAATCTTTCAATCTGCTCTTATTTGTTTGGGAGAAGCGATGGGAGGGTCGGCTGGGCGCAGGGTGGGCAATAACCGCCGAAAACTAATAACATTTTTGTGTGATAGTGGAGGAGCAAACCGAGCGCGCTTCCCTCAGTGTCCTTTATGACACAACAATGCGCACTTGCAATACAATAAGGGGTTAGCCGGAGAGTCGGTTTCATGTCTACTTTCGTGGAAATGGTGTTTTGGGAAGAAAATGCGCGGGCATTTAATTTTGTTTTTTTAAAAGAGTGAATATTTGGATCAGGGTTGTTCTTGTCCGAACTTGGCACAGTTGGTCGATTAAAGCAAAAATGACATCAATGAACAGAGGCGGGCGTCTCGTTACGGCGAGTGCTGCGGGAGCCGAGTGCTCTCGGAACTATGACGTGTATAACGAACAGCCCTCGAGAGCGGCGACTGTTGGCAGCCGGCACGACTCGCCAGTTCGGCACCCTTGTTACGACGCCTCGTATGCGGTCGCGTGCAGCATTATCTTAACGTCAGTGTTTCATTTTACATGAAGCTTTAAAGTTGCAAGCTCTACATGAAAATGTGAGAGCAATGAAACGATGAACCGTAATGTTGGTGATTCATACGCTGAAGTCGTTTCGAATCAATTAATCCCTAGCTAAACAGTTAATTAGCACAGTGTGTGCACTGAACTATCTATCACAATAAAACTAGGCGTCAAATAGGGCGCGGAGAATGCAAGGCGCGCGGTCGTTAATCGATCAGAACATTCGATCACGATTGATGGATTGGCGACACGCCGTCGGCGGAGCGCGGCCGCACGCGCACGCTCGCGTCGCCTCTGCCATTGGCCGAGCGACACGCGACGCGGCAAATCGACACCCGAGGAAAACAATGAGATAACGAGCCGATGAATGACACGCTCCCGTCACGATACCGCCCGAAGCACACTTGTACGAACTAAAGTGAGTGCCAAAAATATTTGTCGAACAGGGACAGCCGGGAATAGAACCGGCCTGAGCCGCGTGCCAACTCCTGCGCCGCACACGTGCCTGAGTGCCCACCCGCCCGCTGGAACTCGACTCTCGCTGTTTTGTTTTTAAAGCATTTAATGACTGGAGATTCTTTACTAACATTTTTATAACTAGATAATCTTGGTCGTTTACTAATTGTAAACGATCAAGATTATTAACAATGCTTTGGTGCATTGCTCGTAACAATCAAAGAATCATAGCATCAATCAGGAAAGAAAAGGGGATATGCAGGTATATTCAGTGATTTATTAATCGAGGTTCCTATTTTGATTCGCGGCGTAAGAGCGGCTAACACGATCAGAGCCGAGATCCGGTGCCGGATGCCACAAATAATTTTTCGCCGAGAAGCCAAAGCGAAGGAAAGGTAAAATTTAATTTGCGAAATTTTGTGGTTGCGATGGGAATTAGGTAAGCAAAGTCAATTCTGAAAGTAAGTAGAATTTGAATTTAAAATGATTTATAGAGGCGCAGGGGAGTGGCTAATGAGGCGTCATGCGAGAGGGGCGCGTGTTTACGGCCGGTGTTTTTTCGCCGCGCGGTTGGGCGGCGCCCGAGTGCTCGCTGACGTAACGCCGCCCGCCCACGCGCTCGCTATCGCCAAACGCACGTTTCACAACCGACTGAGCCGGTTAAATGTCCAAGACAACATAAAAACAACAGTGATAACATCGCGTCAAAGCGCCAACGTTTGACAGCCACATGTTAAAGATACCATCACACAATTCAAACGACCGTAAACGACTTCTCTTTCAAATCCGTGTTCACCGACTCACTGAGTTTGGAAGTAAAATATCATAATAACACACTAGTAGGAAAAAGTTCGAAGTAGCCTTAAAGTAAGAATTATTCACTCTGGTGAAGTTCCCGACAAGTTTGCATCGCCCGCCGTAGCTTAACTCTAAAATATGCATCGTGCGCGCAGTTGTCTCGGCCACTTTAGCCGCGGCGCCGGTCACTACTTGTTTATCCCGGCTTTATAGCTCCTTCTAAAAACTAATAAAGTAAAAATGAGTCTTTAGATCAGCTCCGAAGTAAGCACCTACACCGATGTTTTAGCTTTTATTAAACTCGTCTACCGTCGTAAGCTCTCTGCAAGTTTGATTAAATACTTAAGTGTTGGTTTGCCTTTCTGCCTTTCGAGATTGGCTTTAACAAACTCGCAATGTGCTAGCGGTTGGATGTTGGGGCAATAATTCGGTGGGAGTCCGGCAATATACCGGCGAGCCGGCGGGGTGCGAGCGGCAGATTAATGCAACGGAAGCCGGCGCGACCTCTCCAGGTGTTTCATTAAATTGCGCGCGGCGCCTTCGCCGGCTCGTACGGCCATTATGAAAGCTGCAAGCTCGAGGGCCATTCGCTTTAAGAACGCCCGCGCCACTTTGTAACGGCCTTAATGAATCTTGTTACTTATAGGCTCGCGTAAATTGCCTGTTTTACTAACGCGCCCCAGGGTGCAAAATCATTAGGTCAATGAACGTTCTCACACGGAACGCTTTCAATGTTTTTGTACGGCCGTAAGTGCTTTTCCTATTGCACCACTAAACAGTTCATTAGGGGTGGAATCAAAGCCCTTCGCAGTGGCTATTACTTATTGCATTAGTGTCGATTAACGTCGAGAGCTTAACGCGCTTTTATAAAGTTAGATGGAAGCTTTTTCATTAGTTAATTTCAAAATTCGTGCATCTGCGATTATATCGTTTGAATTTGCAATTTACAGACGCTTTAATCAACACTGTGTACACAGCAGGTAGTTGGGAAGGTAAATAGTGTAACATAACACGTGCGCGCGGTTCACGTGCATGCAATCTAGCGAAATAAGCGACGAGCGGGCTTGTAGGAGTAATGCGGCGATACTCGTACGGCGGCGTCCTCGGCCGGCGGCCACCGGCGGCTGACAAGTTTAGCTGCTGCAGTAATTAGTCTCTAAGCAGCCAGCCAGCACCGTCACCCCACGGTACACTCGCCTGCTCACTTGAACGACGTTCGCATCATTACTCAACCAGAACGTATTAAACACAACATTTTCGACTTTCGACACGAGTTATCTGTTATAGTTGCAGACAACAATAGTTGTATCTCGACAAAGGTTTCTAGGA